TATTCTTTTAAAAAAATTAATAATTATAAAATAATAAAAATTTGATAAATATCTTTACTTTTATTTATTATTATAATTGTATTTTATATAGTTTATCCCATTTTTTAATATATCAACATAAATATATTTTTATTTTTTTCTTATAAATTAATATAATCTTAATTAGTGGTGTATTGATACTTAATATTTATCACAATACTTTTAAATTTAAATATAAATAATTTAAAATAAATATATTTTTAAAATAAAATTTAATAAATTTCATATAATATAATTTTAAATATTATTTATTTTACTTAGTAACTAACATTTTATTATTTTTAAAAAAAATAAATAATTATTTAATAATTTTTTAAAAAATTTCTATTAGTTAAAAATATACTTTCTAGTCTATTTTTAGTTATAGAATATATATATCCATTTTTTAAGCTTAGTCCCTTTAAAAAATGAATAAATTCATTATTATAGTCTAATTCTATTGGACTAAGTAAAAAACTTATCTACTAATTATTATTTTTAGAAATTTTGATTTAAAACTTAATATTTTAGAAAAGAAAGGTTTTCATTGTATATTTAAGAATTTTATTTTTCGAATTGTTTTAAAAAATTCTTAAGGCTATAAAGAAATAAATTAGTTATTATTTAATTTAATTTTTTAATTTTTTGTAAAAGTTAAGATTTTTGTTATTAAGTTTATTCGCTTTTAAAATTATTGTAACGCTTTATTAAGTATAGATATTTTTTTATTTTCTTAAAAGTAAATTTTATTTAATCTAATTATTTTTAAATTAGTTTTCTTGATTATAAGTTAAATGTAATATTTTTATTAATTTAATATTAGATTTCATATTCTTATATATATATATATATATATATATATATATATATATAAATTTTATTAATTCTTTCTATTATTTGAAATACCAGTATGATGCATTTTTATAGCTAAATGCTTATTATTATTTAAAGAAATTATATGTTCTTATTGTTTTATATATATTATTAAGATGTCTAAATTTAAATTGCATTATTAATTTTAGTATTTTAATCCAACATAATTTGTTAATATTATTACATTTAGAACATAAATTATTATTACGTATTGATAATATAAGGTTAATATCAGATCACTGATAAAAAATGAGGTTTAATTTTTTATTTTATTTCATTCTATTTTTATTTAATATAATTTAAAATATTTATGTTTAGTTTTAATTTTTTGTTTTGTTTTTAGTATATTATAATTTTTTAAATATTATTAATTAATATGGTTATAAATTTTTATATTTATATATCATTAAATTTAATAAAAGAAAATGTTTCTCTAAAAATTTAAATTTTAAAACTTATATTCCAAAATAAATTTCTATATAATTATATTTAATAAAAATATTATATTTCTAATATTTATTAATTTTATATCATTATTTTTTTTATATTTTTATTGTATTTCATAAATTATCTAATTGCAATTCTTTACAAATTCTTTATTCTAATTTAACATAAATTATGTTTAAAAACATTAAATGGACAATCTTTAGCAAAATTAATATTTAAATAATTTAAATTTTAAATATTTTATTAATACCTTTAAAAAAAAATTAAAAACAACAATTATTTCTAAATATTAGTAATATTGTATGTTTTCATTCATAATATAATTAAAATAATATAATAAGCAAACAGCAAAATTATATTAATATTGATTTCCATAATGTTTATAAACAATAACAAAATCGTTTAATGCTGTTAAAGACAAAAAAATTATTAAAATTTTTAATTTTTACAAAGTGATTTCTTCCATCCAAAAGATTTTAAAAATAATTAAAAATAAAAATAACTTATTTTTATTTTAAAATAAAAAATTAATATATAATACATCAAAAAAGTTTGGAATAAAAATCATAAAATAAGTTGAAATTAATATTCCTACTATTATTAGTATCATATATAATAGCATCGTCTAGCTTTCATAAAACAGTTTTTTTTATTTATTTTATTATAACTTGTATTCTTTGATATTTATTTGAGTTTGATATTTAGTAAATTCTTTTGGAAAAAGTTACTAATATTACTAAAGCTAATATTATTACTCTGCTAATTATTAATCTAATATAACTATCTATTCACAATATCTCTCATTAAGATAATAAAGTTATTTATTCTAATAAAGAAAAATTAATAATTTTATTAAGTTATATAATTATGAATATAAATATAATACTTTGTTATATATCCATTAGAGTTAAAGAGTAATATATCCAATCATTTAGTTTTCTATTTTTGAATGAATTTCGTATGTAATTTCCTATAATTACTAATCCTCCAATATATCTATATTTATAAAAAAGCATCCTAGAGTGTTTTATTTTTTACTATTTTAAACTTCTATTTCAATTTGTTTGGTATCTACTTAAACTGGACTATTAATAAAATATTATAATATTATTATTTTTTTTAATACAAGAAATATATTTGTTTGAAGTCTTATGATTTATTTTCAATTTTAGGTGACTTTTGAACATTCATATCAACTTTAATTAAAATTTAAACATCATATTTTTTCAATATTAAATCTTATATTTGAGCATTTTTTATATGACAATATAAAATAGAATTTTCTTAAGTAGAGTTTTGTAAAAAACTGCTTTATTTATTTAGAGATAATTATAAGTTATCATTTACTTATTATTATTGGCTTTTAAGGTTGATTTTTAATTATTCATTTTCTTTTAATTTTTCTGTCAATTTTTTTTTCATCTAAATAAGTCTTAACAAAATTTTCTAAGTTTACAATAGAATCTGGATTTTATTAGTTTTTATTTTATTAAACATTAAATAATTATTCAATTATTAACTCTTTTTCTTTCTAAACAGACTTTATTGTATTATTTTAATAAAATTAAGAATGAATATATATTTTACTATTTTGTATAATATTTCTTTTGTTTATTCTAAAGTAACTTTTTAATTAATATCTTAATGCACATCTTTTATGCAATCAATAATAAAATCAAATTCATTTTAATTGTTATTAAACATGTATATTATTTTATTATTATTATTATATTTTATAATTATTATAGCTATTTTTATTAATAAATAAATTATTTAATTATTTAAGTTTTAATTAATTTTTTTTTTATAAAATAATTTAATAAAAAAATAATGTTTTACAAATTATTTTATTTTTATATTTTTAAAAAGGTTTTTAATTTATAATTTAGTAATAAATAAATAATTTAATATTAATAATTAATATATTTTAGTTTTAATATAATCTAATAAAAATAGATTATTTATTTGATATAAAATGCTATTTATAAATTTATATGTAAATTTTGAAAAGTTTAAAATTTTTTATTATTAATATAATCAAGAATACATTTTTTTAAATTTTCTTTTGGTATTATAATAAGTATTTAGACTTAATTGTTTTGTTTTGTTTTTGTTTAAATTTATAATTTATATAGTAATCAATTTTTAACTCAATATTTATTTGTTTTAGCAATTACAAATCAAGTTTAATAAAAATATTAAATTTTTAAATATGTATTTAATATAAAGTTACATAAAAATATTTAATAAATTAAATTAATTAAAAATAAAAAATATAGTTGATTTTAATATATTTAAATCTAAAATACTAAAATTAAAGTACAAATACTAATAACACAAATAAATAGACTATTGAATAACTATTATATTTGTAAAAAAAAATAGTCTTAAACCCATGCTTTTTTCTTTTTTATATTTTAACAATATTTGTATTAAAATAAATTTAAATTTACTTTGATATGAATAAACAATTTTTTGTAATTATGATAAATAATATATAGTATACAGTTAATAGTTGTGTATGATTAAATTGATTTTATAAAAAATTAAAAAAATAATTTTAAAATTTATATATATATATTTATTTTCAATTTAAAAAAATACGTCAGCTACAGGATTTGAACCTGTGCGGGCAAGCCCAGTTGATTTCGAGTCAACCTCCTTAACCACTCGGACAAACTGACAATTTTAATATATATAATACTTATTGCATTTATTATTAAATGTTATGTTTTAATATTTTTTGTAAAAAATTAAGTTTATAAAATATTATTTATAAAATAATTTACTTTTATTTGTTTTTTTAATATATTTTATATAAAATATTATAAACTAATTTTATTTTATTTTCAAATCCAAGTTAATAATTTATAAATTTTTATGTTTTTTATAATAATTCAAAGAATAAATAAGTAATTCTTTATAAAAAAATAGATAAATTAATGCATCCTTAGTTTGTTTTTAAAACATTAAATTATATATATACTTATATTTTATACTTTTTTCAGTTATTTTAATTAAAGATATTAAAGAATTAATATAGCTCATTTTATAAATTAAATTCTTTTCAAGAAATAAACAATTAGGATGTATGTGTAAATGGAGCTTAAAAACATATTTTGATAATTTATTGATAAATAATTATAAAATATATGCTTTTTTAAATTCAAAGTATATTAATATTTTAAAATTAATTTGATTATTTTTATGTTATTTTAATAATCTAAAAATAAAATATTATAGATAAATAGATTTAAATAAACATTAGTTTCATTTTTAAAATAAAAGTTTACTAATAAAATCATTTTTTTTATTAAATTACTGCTACTAATAATTTAATAATTGATTTAGAGAAAGCTTAAATATTATATACTCTTAATTATCATTTTTAATATTAATATATAATTTTTTTAGTATAAAGTATATAAATAATATTTAAAATAAATCCTTATAATTTTAAATTTGCTCCTAATTTCCAGAAAATGTTATATTAATGCTCTATTTTTATTTAAAAATTAATATTTCAATAAATATAAATACTTATCGGAAAAACTTACTTTGTTTTCTTCTTCTTTTTTAATTTTAAATCCAAGCAATATATTTGAAACTTTTTAAAAAAATGATAAATTATTTGAAAAAAAATTGAAAAATATTTATTATAAGTATATATAAAAAATAAAATATATTTAATTATACAACCATCTTTTAAAAATATTGAAATTTAATAAAACTCAAATTTAATCAAATTTAATAATTGGTTTAAACTTTTTATTAAATTCCAAAAAATTTTAAAAGTATTTAAATCATATAATTAAAATATTTTACTTTTTTAATTTATTAAATAATAATATTTAATATTTTAAATATATTTGTCTATAAAAAATAAATATAAATATATAGTAAATAAATAATTTTTTATAAAAATGGATAAATTTGAAATATTTTTAGATTAAAACGAAACTTAATATATAATAACTATTAAAAGTGAATTATTTCCTCAAAAGACAAAATATAAAGATTCATTTTAATTGCAATAAGTATAACATGAAATAATAAAAGATATGATTTTTCATATAGACGATATGTCATTAAAAATAGAATTAGGTAAATTAGGATTAAAAAAATTAAATCCATATAAAGTCTTAAAAAATATACTTAAAAAAATAAATAATCATTTAAAAGAAGAATAATAGTTATCAATAATATAGGATATTTTTCCATAAGTCTAAGAATATTAATTTACACCAATATCATTTGATTTTAAATATAATTTTAATTAATTTAGAAACAAATAAAAATACGAATATATAAGGTAAATAAAAATTATAAAACACTATACTTATATAAATATAATATTTAAAAATTTATGTATAATTAAATACAATATCATTTGTTGTATATAAAATATAAAAATATCCTTTTCAATATTTTGAATTTTATTATATTTTATTTTTTTAGTTTTATTAAAAATTCTTATTATATATAAATATTTAGAAAAATTAATTTAAATAAAAATTTTAATCATATAAAATATTAAATTAAATAAATAACCTTAATTTAATTAAATATTAATAAAGACTATCCAATATCTTGCAAGCAGACATTTATAAAGAAGTATAAACGAAAAATAGTAATGAATAAACGTATTATATAACTTTTTTACTTCCTTAAATAAATTAATAAGGTTAATAGGTAAAACTTCTATTATTTTTTTTAATCAAAAAGTTATATTTAATTTACTTAATAAATATTTTAAAAATATCTTTATATTAATATATAATTAAATTTTTTTATAAAAGGATAACAAAGAATATAAAGAGTATTTATTTTATTATAATATATTTAAATCTATAAAATCGCTATTTTTGGGAGGATTTAATTTATATTCTGCTAATGATATTTATTAAAATGTATTAGAGACCTAACTTTTGCCTTATTTAATAGTTAATTAATTATAATTCTAGTTTAACTATATTATTGAATAATAACTTCTGCATGAATACGGAACTTATCTATATTAAATAATAAAAAACATTTAAGTTTTACCTATGAAATAAGTTTTAATCCTCAGTGTTTAAAAGTTATAATAAAAAGAATAATAAACATTTACCTCATCACTTTCTTGTATTTAACTATTTTTTGAAAATTGTTAAACATGCTATAATTAATTCAAAAAGATTAAAGATTAAATTCATTTATTATTTAATTAAATAAAAAAATAGAAGTTACAAATAGAAAAAAACCTAAATTAATAAGATATTTTAAATGATAGAGAATTTCAAAAAAAGCTAATTGAAATTAAATAATAAAATACTGATAAGAATTAACAAAATAAACATGAATATAAAATAAAACTATTCAATAATTGTCCAAAAGTTACAGAAAGAAATGTTTATAATATTTAGTCTTTTTTTAATTTAATGCTTAAAAATTATAAATTTTACAAATTAGTAAATAATTAAATGTCTTTTGAATATAAGGACTAAAATGAATTAGAAAAAATATTTATTAGTATTTTTGGATTACTGCAACTTTATAATAACTTTGTTTAAATAAATGCATATTTAGATAAAAAAAATTAGTCCTAAGATAAACAGCTTGAATTAATTTAACAAGATTAAGGAAGAAATTAGGAATCTAATTAAACATTTTGGAAAATGAGTGCTTAAGGACATAATTATTATCTTCAAATCATATGTAGAAATTTTAATGACATATTTATTTTTGAAGAAGAAATAAGACACTCAAATAATAATAATGTAAATTTAAATTCTAGTGATAACTTATTATTTTAATAAGGACTTAAATTTGTATATTAAAATTTGAAAGCTTAGAATTTTAATAATTTAGAAGAGCCTATTGACTTTTTAAACAAAGGAATTAGTGTTATAGAAAAGTTTTTGCTTTATGGAGACAAAATTTAAAAAAAGTTAATTTCTGATATTATGATGTTAAAAAATGAAATCGAAATAGACTTTAGAGTTTATAGTATTGAAGACACATTTGCAAAGAAAATAGTATAAGAAAAATAAAACTAAAATAATATTCAAATATCAAGTTTTAATCAGCTTTTTAAAATACAGTTAAGTCAAAAAAATATACCTTAACATAATTAACAAAGCTTATAAAATCACATTCGATTGTATTAAGATGGATTTATTGTTGGATATATAAATTCTTATGCAAATGGTATTTACTCATAAACTATAGATTATTATCCTGAATAGAATTTATATAAAAGGGATAATATAGCTGAATTTTTACAATATTATTTAAAAAAACTCTAATATTAAAAATGAAAAAATAGATTTATATTATTGTTATATTAAAAAATTATTCGGAATTTTTTTTTAAAAATAAATAAATTAAAAATAATAAATTAATATCTTTAAAATTTATGTTAAGAAAAGGTAATCCATAGAAAATTAAATTACTTTTTTTAAACAGCCCAAAAATCAAATATTATTTATAAATATCAAAAATTAATTTAACATAATATAAAAGTATATCCCTTTATAATTCCTTTCATTAAAAAAGTTAAAAACTCTTATATTAATAAATTCAAAGTATTTTTATCGTATTTTATATAAATCATTAATATATATAATTAAATTCTAAAGATAATATATTCATAAAAAAAAAATAACAATAGAAAATAAATATATAATAAAAGCATTAAAAGAAATATGACTAATTTGTAACAAAAATAAGACTATATCTCAATAAAAATAAAATTTTAGAAAATTGAAATGTTAAAATAATAAATGCGATAAGAAATATTTTATGTAAAAATAAATAAAAATTTTGAAAAATTAAAATAAAAGAGGTAAAATAAAAATACAATATTTTAATAAATTTGTATATGAGAGAGATTGCTATTGTTTTAATTAAAAAAATAATTTTTTAAAGAAAATAGGATAAAATTTAAATAGTTAACTAATTTTTAAATTTAAATAAAAGATAAAATAAAACATAAAAAATATAATTTATTTAAAAAACTAAAGATATATTTGATATTATTTTTAAAAATAATTTATGATATTTTTTATAAAAAAAAAAATCATATAATAATAAATAAACGATGAATTATTTGCATATAAATAAAAAAAAAAAAATATTTTGATAAAAAATAATAATATTTATATAAAAGCTAGTATAAAAAATTAGTTCTTACAAATAAATATTATTAGATAAAATATATTAATTAAATAAAAAAAAAAAAAAAAATTATAATGTTTAAAAAAGGAAAAATATAAATTAAAAAAATATATAAAATAATAAAAACATTATTTTATAAATATAAAAATGAAAATGTTAAAACTTAAATAATTACATAAGTAATAAAAAAAATAAAAACAAAAATAATAATATATAATTGTATAAAAGTTGAAAAAATATGAAAATAATAATAATAATCAATAATTAATATAATAAAAAAAAAAAAAATTGAATAAAATATAATATTGAAAAAATTAGATAATAAAATATATATATAGTTATTTTTATATTTAAAAATTTATTAATTAAAATAAATATATATATATTATTTATTTATTTATATATTTATATATTTATATATATATATATATATATTTTTTTTTTTTTTATTATTATTATATTATATATTTAAATATCTTTATTTTATATATATTTTCTTTTTATTTATTAATATTTTTTTATTATTTTTTTAAATATATAATCTATATTTTTTATTATAACTTATGAATCAAGATGTTAATAATAATTTAAATAATGTTTATAATAGTTAATATAAAGATATATATTAATAGGAATATACTAATACAAATTTCCTTAATATGAATCATGAAAGTATAAAAAATTAAAATATAAACTCATAATATTCTAATGCCCATATATCTTCTAACATATAATAAAAAAATAAATTAAATGAAAAATGTGATAATCCATCAAGTTTAATTAAAATATATACATAAGATGATTAAAGTACTAATTAAAAACCCATAGTTTTTACTTTTATTTAAGGCCTTTCAATGTTTTTCTTTTTTTTATGGGCTTTATTGCTTTTAATATATTCTTAAACACCTAGTTTATATGGAAACAATTTATAAGATTGTTAAAATTTGAGGAATTTTACTTATTTTTTAGGAAATATATGCTAGCTTCTATTATTCTATCATATTTTATATATATTAGTTTCATATTTATCTTTAAAGTATAATTGTTTTGAACTTTGGCCTCCTTTAAATAAATTTTTTTTTATTTCAAATTATGCTTCGCTCATTTTTCTTATTATTTTATTAATTATACTTTAAATATTATATAGCTTTAATGAAAATTGTGGTTTACTTTAATATATAGTATTAGGATATCTTATTAATTCATATCTAATATTAGGAGTATATGTAATTTCTATTATTATAAAATAATATTTACAAAGTTCTGGATTTATTAAAAGAGAAAATGCTTAAAATATTTCAGAAGAAGAAATTAGCTATATAAAAAGCTATTAAAATATTAATTATAAATAAAAAAATTCTAATTACTAAACATTTGAAAATATTAAATGAGAAACTTTAAAAAATATTTTTATTTAATTATATAATAATAATAACTTTTAATTTTATATTTTATTTTTAAAAATGCTCATTTTTAAAATATAATTACAGTATAATATTTTTATATTTTTATGTGTTTTTAATTTTTTAAGGATTATTTAATTCTCTATGTTTTAAAATTATATTAAACATCCGCCTAAAAATATATAACATAGTAAATAAATTTTTAAATATTTACTATTAGATTAGAATAAATTAAAAAAGTTAAAAAATAAAATAAAATAATAGAATAATTTAAATATAATTCATAAATAAAGATATATATTTATATTTTCTTTAATTTTTTATATATATATATATATTTAATTCATATATTTCTGATACATATAAAAATATAACATATAATACGATTTAAAAATGTTATTTAACAAATTTTCTGATAATAAGACATTAAATTAAATCGACAATTCAATAAATTTGTTACAAATAATTAAGAAAAAGCTTACTTCTTATATTAATCAAATTACTTCTCTACGAACTATGGAATTGTAAATTAAAAGATAGTCAATAGATTAGCTTAGTTTATTTAATAACTAGGAAATATTGAGATAGTATAAAAATATTATTTTTTTAATTTTTTATATTATAATATAAGGGTATCTGAAAAGATATATAATTTAGAAAAATAAAAAAGAAATTTGCTTAAGTTTGTTTAATAATTTAAAATATAGTATAAAGATTTAGAATAGGATATTCAAAATAACAAAAAATAATTAATTAAAAGCTCAATTATTGGAATTATAACAACATAAACATTTTTATAATAAGAAAAAATTTTGGATTTAAAAAGCCTAAAAAGCTGTTCAGAATAATTACAATTTAACTTTTAAGTTTTACATAATAAATTTGTTTCAATTAAACCAAACTAAAAAGTTTAAAATACACAATAAATATAAATAATATTTTGTATTAAAGATTCTCCTTATAATTAAAATTACAGATATTATATTTAAGATGTTTTCTGTTGTCCTATTGAGTTTAATACAAAAGATTTATATCCCAACTTATTACCAATTATTTTTTAAGAAATTAATATAGAAATAAAAATTCAATACATAATTTATGATTTTTTATAATTTTTAGGGATATTTATTGCAAATTAGAATAGCCAAAGCTAACAAATCATAAATTATTTCCAATAAATTTTTGACCCTAAAACTGAATGTGATAAATGTAAAAAATATATGAAATATGTCTCACCTGAAAAAGGATTCTTACCACCTTTGCATCTTTCTAACTAAAAATTATTCCATTAATAATGTATTGAAGAAAACCAATAGTGATTAAATTAATTGCATTTAAATTATTTTATTAAAATAAATATATTATATAAATTTAATATACTTAATCATAAATTTTTTATGTTCTTTGTGAATTTTTTAAAAATTCAATCAAAAAAAAGGAAACACGAGAACAAAATGGATAATGCACTTTTTTTTTGGTTTATCGAGTTTTTTTTAAAAAAAATATATAAAAAATAAATCAATTCATATATAAAACCTAGTTATTTGAAATATTTTCAATATTTATTAAACTTTTTAGATAATGATTTTTTTAATATATTATAAAATTATTACTAAATTTAGTATAAATTAAAAATAACATTTTTTATAATTTCAATTATCAAATTTTTATTTATTTTAAATAATAATTAATATATATTAAAAATATCTTATTTCTTTATAAATTATTAATATAATTTAGTTTTAAAAAATATTCCAGAATAAGGTTTTCTATCATAACTAAATTATTAACAGCGCCAATATTTTTCCTTTAAAATTCTTATATTAAATTTATTAGTTTTGATTTTATTTATAAAAAATAAATTTATAAATTATATAAAAATAAATTATTTATTCTTATAAATAATAAATGCTTAATATAAACGGAAATTTAGAGTTAGATTATTCTCAACCTATTTTTTAAAATCAAGTATTGATTCGAAAAAATTTTGGGAAATTAAATTGGAAGCCCCTAACAAGACTTTAATAAGGTATGGAAAGTTAATACAAAGTATAGAAGTTTCAAATACAATAAAATAAAACGAGAAATATCATAAATCTATAGAAGAGGCTAAACTTTATATAGAAAAATAAATATAGATTAAAAAATTAAGAGGTTATGATTTAAAAAAAGAGAATGATAATATTGAAAAAAAGAAAAATAATTAAACAGGCATTTAAATAATCATAAATAAAGCAGAATTTAAAGAGGACTAAATATAAAAAAACATAAATTATTAAGAAGATAAAGAGGTTATATATAAAGACAAATGTTATTTTGAAGAAACATCTAAAGCTTGGAAAGCTAATTTTATAATATTAAAATTGGAAGGAAAAAACATATAAAAAATTGAAGGGTAAGTATCGTTGATAAAGAAAAGTGAATAAAGTACTATTGAATTTCCTTCTGTAAAAAAGGCAGAAATTGAATTTAAAAATTTAATTGAAGAATATACAGTTTTAGGATGGTCACGATTTGATGGAAAGTTAGAAGAAATATAATAAAAAATAAAAGAAGAACCTTAAAAAAAATAATAATAGTAATTGTTTGTACCTTAAAAAAAATAGAATAATCAAAATTAACTTTCATCAAAAAATAATTTATCAGATATGACAGATAGCGTGCTTTCAAATGCAAGTGATGTTGATTCTTAATCATAAAAAAGTAATTTAAGCGGAAGCAAATTAGGAGGTAGTGGTACTATATAAGGAGTACTTCTTGCAAATCAAATGCCAGATGATTTCGATGCTACAGGATGGATCGGAAGTGAGAAAATGGATGGAGTTAGAGCTATTTGGACTGGAACTAATTTCTATTCAAGAAATGGGAATCAATTTTATCCACCTAATTGGTTTATTAAAGGATTCCCTAAATCTACTTTAGATGGGGAATTATTTACAAAAAGAAACGATTTTTAATATTGTGTTTCTATAGTCAAAAATTAAAATAAAAATAATGATATTAATATTTCTAATAAATGGAAAGATATTATTTATTTAGTTTACGATGCTCCAAAATTAAATCTCCCTTTTTCTAAAAGAATTTAAATTCTCTAAGAAGAAATTCCTAAATTTAATAATTAATACATAAAAGCTTTGCCTCATATTACAATAGAAAATTAAGATCATTTAGAAGAATAACTACAAAAAGTGCTTGATAAAGAAGGAGAGGGGCTAATGCTTAGAAATCCAGATGCCTTCTATGAATAAAAAAGGTCTAATAATCTATTAAAAGTCAAAGTCTTTACTGATGAAGAAGCTAAAGTTTATGGTATTTAAAATGGAACAGGAAGATGTTAAGGAATGATGGGAGCCTTATTGTGTGAACTTAAAAATGGGATATAATTTAAAATTGGAAGTGGTTTTAATGATTAATAAAGAAAAAGACCACCTAAAATTGGTAGTATTGTTACTTTTAAATACTAGAATTTGTCTAAAAATGGGATTCCGAGATTTCCAATATTTTTAAGGATTAAAAATGACAATTTTTGATTAAAAATATATATTTTTAAAAAAATAAATATTACAATTTTATTTTCATATGTTAAAATCATAGAATTATTATTCTTATTTTTTTAATTAAAAGAGGGTTTAACTATTCTCATGTATTTGATTATTTAATGACATTAATTTTTCTCTTATTTCTTATTTTTTTTGAAAATTATCTGACTGTAAAAAATATTTTTATAAAATTTTTAAAAAATGAATATTTAATTTACTTTATCTTCTTCTAAGTATTTTTGAAATTATTTATGTAAATAAATCTATTTTTATTCGCATTCTATAATTTTATTTGTGAGTATTTCTTAGTTTTATTTCTATGAATAGTTATTTTCACTATTATTATAGCTACCTTAAAACTCTATATTTGAAATTTAAAGATTATTGATAATTTTGTCTTTTTATTTAAACATTTAATCTTTGATTTATTGCCATTAAATCTATTTATTTTCTTGTTCTTAATATAGTTATTTTATATTTTAATTGATATATTATAATTTAGTTATTTATTCATTATTTTCTTCATTTAATATTTACTATTATTTTTCAAGTTTATCTATTTATTCTTTATATTTTTATTCTTATTCTATTTATTATTTTTGTAATTTATTTAATTAATCAGTAAAAATTTGCTTAATATTTAAATTTTCAGACTATTTCTCATTAGCTTTTTCTAAAAATTCTTCTTATTTTTATTTTTCATGTTAAATTTAAAGTACAATAGATTTATTTTTTTAAGAGTTTGTATAATTTAATTCTTTTGTTTAATTATACTTTTACTATTTTTCATTGATTTAAATATTATTTTAATCAATTTCTTATTTTAATTGTTAAATTTAGAATTAAATTTATGTAAGTTCTTATTTACTTTTTTAATTTATGCTTTTTTAATTACCTAATTCTTCCATTTTTTGATTTAAGATTTCATTCATTTTTATGAAAATGCTATCTTTATCTAATTCACATTCTTATAAAGATTTTTATAATTTTTCTTTTATTTTATTATTTTCATCAAATTTTTTTTTTGTAAAATTTAATTCTTCTTACAAATTTAATATTTTGTTTCTTTAAGTTTAATAATTTTAAGTTTTTAATTTGTCAATTTCATTATTTTTTATTTCTATTTATTTTTTTAATTCTTATAATTTTAATTAAGATTCTTTTAAATCTTAAGTATAGGTACTTATTTATACTGTTTTTTATATATTAGAAATATTTGCATTTAATATTTAATCTAAAGGAGGAAACATTCTATCAATTTATTCAAAAACATTGTTTTAATACATTTAAAATAATTTATTATATAATATTTATATTTAAAAAATATGATATAGTGATATTAAAAATATATTATTATATTTTTAATAAAACTTACTTATGTTAAAATTATTTAAAATATAAAATATTTTTTTAAAAAAATAAATAAATAATTTTAGTTTAATTGTTAAATTATACTTTATTAATTTGTTTTTGCTAATTTTTAAAAAAAAACTATTTATTAAAATTGAAAAAAATTTGATTTCATTTTTAAATATCTTATACTGATTAAATTTATAAAAAAAAAAAAAAATTATTATTTTCAATTTAATTAATTATTTAAATTAAAAAAACTAGATTTATTAATGTAAATTGATTAATAAATTAAATATGGCGACAAAATACTTTTACATTCATTAGATAATCCCTAAATTTTTTTAAATTGCAGAAATTCAAGTGAATATAGTGTATTTATGATAGAAAGTGATTAAAATATAATAGAATATCCAAATACATTTGAATTAGTATTTACTATTCATCCAAAGTTAAACTATTAAGCTTAAAAAGAACTTCAAAAGAATTTGAAAGATGAGAATAAAGTAAAAAACGATAATAAAATAGAATGTTTAAAAAAGCGTTCTGAAATAGAAAAATAAGAAAATTAAAAGATCATAAAAAAAATGGAAAAACAACTTGTAAAGATTGGAAGTGAAATATAAATGTAAAATAAATATATAATAATAAATTTTAGTATTATTTTAAAAAAAGTTATCATATATATTCATAATGCTATTTAAAAAGTAGTGCAAAAAAAAATACAAATAGTTCGAATTTGTTTTGTTTAAAATTAAGCAAAAAAGCAAGAAAAGGGAATTTATTTTAGATAAAAATAGATGATTAAAATAATTAATAAAAATCTGATTATTTTTTAACTTATAATGATCCATTTATTTTCGAAAGCATTAAATTTAAAAAAAGTAATCTAACAACTAAAGATCTTCCTCCTTTTATATACTAAAATAATAAGAGTAATTCTAAAAATAATTTTAATTCCTTAAATATACTTGAATATGAAAAAATGAGTACTATTAATAAATCCATTACAACGATTCCTATTTTCGAAAGCCTTGAAAACATAAAAGTTTATCATGCAGGGCACAAAAGAGATAGTGAAAGCTTTTTTAAGGCTATTAATGTTGATTATATCGAAGAAACAGAAGATTAAAATTGTATTAGGTGGGGAGATTATGTAAGAATAGGCAATAACTTTGAAAACAAAGAAAAAGACAATAAATTAGAAGGAGTTTTTTTTAGCGAAATTAATGTTGCTGGAAATTTTCCTTCAGTTTATTTAGAAGTAAATTAAAATTATTCATACGAAAACTTTTCAAGCATTTTTTAAATTTTACCTAATGATGTTAATTTTTTGGGAAAAAAAATAGTAAATCCTGAAAAAATATAGAATACATAATTAAGGCATGTTTTATCAGGAAAAAAATTATGTTTTAATGGAAACAAAATATGCTTAGAGCAATCATAAAATGTTGTTTTACAATAAAAAACTTTGTAAACTAAAAATTTTAATACTCTTTCTACAATTTGTAATGATGATAATACCGAGAATTTATTTTTAAAAGAAAAAAAAGGAAATGATAAAGAAAATAATAATAATTTTGAATAAGATAAAAACTGCAAAAATAATAATTGTCTTCTTTTATTAAATGTTTAGAATAAAGAATAAAATTTATTTTATAATATTAGTAATTTTAAAATAAAAAATAAACTTTCATAAGTTACTGTTTATTTGGAAGAAGAAGCTGTAATGATAATGAATTAAGATTTAATTGAAAAAATAGATAATGCTTTTATTTAATCAGATTATTTTTAGCCTATTTTTTAACCTATGAACGCTTTAGGTAGGCATATATTTATGATTGGAATTGAAAAAAACAATAATAATATTAAAGAAAGTTAATTTTTTTTTAAAAAGGTATGCTTTGAAGATATTATTTTACTTTTAGAATTACATTCTCTTTGTTTTCATTTAGTTTTTTTCAGCTTTTTAGCTGGATAAAACAGTAGTATATTTAATAATGGAGATAAAATTTTAAAAGATTTATATATTTGGATTAAAAATGGGGATAAACAATAACAATAAAGATAAAATTTAATAAGAGAAAGTGGTATTTTAGATGTTTTAATGAAGATTTTATTTGAAATTTACAGTTTATAAATTATGTATGGGAAAGAAACTGGGATAAAAATAGAAATATTTAAATTTGTATTAACTTTAAAAAATTTATTAGAAATTATTACAGAAAAAAATTATTGTAATTCAATTTATGTTTATTAATGGTATTTTTTATTTAAATAAATATTAATTGATAAAAATGTTTTTGAAAAATTTAGATTTGACTTATTATTAAACCAACTTTTTTAAACTACTCAATTAAATGTGGGTGTAAAAGAAGACTTAAATTAGCTTATAGAATGCTTAAAAATCGAAAAATAAAATATTAAAATTCTACTTTTAATAAATGCGTTTTGTAAATTTAATGCCTTTAGAGAATTATCAGAATAGGAATCTATTATAGAGCTTCTTTTAGGAAATAAAGAAAATAGGGAAACCATCTTTTAATAATTAAAGGCAGATAATCAGGATATTTTTATAGAAAATAGCGCTGAAGAAAAAATATATATTAATCGAAAATTTATAAATTAAATATAGGTTGATTAACTTGTTTAAAATATTAATCTAATTATAGAATTAGCAAAAGGAGGAGTACATTTAATTGAAAAATATGTTTTTTATTTATTTCCAGGTAAGTTATGTGTTGCTATTTTTTAATCTAATGATACTAATTTTAGTATTAAAAGTGCCATTTTGGATTTATTCACATCAACCTATCTTTAGTTAGATTTTTTCAACCTTTATTGTGAAGATATGGAATCTTAAAAAGATTACTGTATTTTTTTATCTAAAAAAAAAATGAATTAAGTTAATTATTAATTGAAAATTTTAAAAATAAGTATTGTTTTGATATAATCCAATTCATTTTCGATTATTTAAATTTAATTTAAAATAATATTTGTTTTTTGTAAAGTTAAGAGTTTAAAATGTGTAATTCAATTTTAAAAATGATTATTTTTTTGATTTAAAAATAATTCTTTTCTTTTTAAAATTTATCTTTTTTATAAAAATCTATATTTTATCTTTTATAAATCAGCACTTAATTTTAAGATTCTAATTTATTTGATTAAAATTAAAATTTACAATTTTAAAACAAAACAAATGTTTATTAGGAAATTGGAAGCTATAAATAAATAATAATTTATTCTATTTAGATACTTGATTTAATTTTTTAAGTTTAATAAAATAATATTGTTGAAGAATTTTTTTTTTAATATGAAAAATTTAATATTTTTCTAAGTAAAAAATCAACAGTTATTTAAGATGATAAAGACAATTCTCAAAAACAAATTCTTTAAAAGAAAGAATTATCAATAGAAAAAAAGAATGATGATATTTTTATTTAAGAAAAGTAAGATAATAATAATATTTCTAAAGAAAAATAGAAAAGAACAAGCATTTTCTAACTAAAAATATAAGATGAATGTGAAAAAAAACAAAAGAATAGATAATCATATAATCAAAAATCTGAAGAAAATAAAAATAATTTATTTATTGAAGAACTTTTAAAAGAAGAAAAAATATATTTTTAGTAAAAAACTACATCTTTAAGTTAAAAAAAACCTTTATTTTTCTAAAGAATATATTAATTTTAAGGAGAGCAAGATTTATTCTTAAAATAAGCTTTAACTTTTTTATAAGAAAAAAAAAATCTTTAATAAGATCTTGTTATTTTTTTACATAAAAGATTACTCATTTTGTAAGAAGAAGAATTGAGTACAAAAGTAATAAATTTAATTTACATAATAATGAATTTAGAAGTATTTTATATGAAATCCTTAAGTAAACTTAGATAATAAAAGAATAAAAACTTGAAGAAAATATGAAAAATTAAAGTAAATGCATTATAATATATAATTAAGTAAGAATGAATATAGAAAAGATGAAAGAATAAAAAAAATTCAAAAGAATATAAAAAGTTTAATTTTAGAATTTTTTTTTGGAAAAAAACAAGAGAAATTTAATTAAAATTAAATTACTTTTTTACCATTTTTATAAAATATAAATTCCATTATTATTTCCTCGCCAGAAAAAAAATAACTTTAAGAATCTTTTAATGAAAATATAGAAGAAAGTTCTTATTTTTCTAATATTAATTATATTAATAATTAACCTTCAAAACCTTTTTTTTTTTAAAATAAAGAAGTATTGTAATAAGAAGAAACATTGAAAAACTAAATCATTTATTATCTTCATCCTAATTATTAAATTGATTTATCTATGCTTTTTTTTCATCAAAAAATGATAAAAAAAATAAATTTTATTGATTAAATTATTGATATATTAAATATTTTATATTAATGTGAAAATAAAAGAAAAAAACAAAATGATTATTTGGAAATAGTTTTAGACTGTATAGCTTTTTTAAACTTATTTGCTCTTAAAAATGTCAAAAATTAGTGTTTTTTGCTTAAAAATGATTCTTTATTAAACATTATCATTTAGTTTTAAGATCCGAATATTATTTAAATGAGTTTTCTTTTATTAAAAAATTTATTTTAGGACAACTTTCCCTTTTTAATAGATTCTTCTCAAATGTTTTTAGAAAGTTTTTTCTTAAGATTACTTAAAAAATTTAATGAAAATTTCAAAAAAAAATTTTTTGTTTTTTGTATTCATTTTTTCGAACTTTTACCTTATTTAGTAACATTAAATGGAAAAATATTAACTTAAAATTAATTTTTTTTAGTCAAATTTATGAATTAAAACAAGTTTGATTTGAATTCATATTTACTTTAATGTATAAATATGCTTTTAGAGTAAAAAATATAAGTATAAAATTATAATTAAATCTAGAAATATATACATATATCCTAAGAAAACGTTTTTTTGACTTCCTTTTTAAGATCTTTTCGTTAAATAAGTTTAAATTGTAATAGTTATGTACATAATTATTTACGCTCATTATTTAGTATTAAACAAATAATAGAAATTTTATAAGATTTGGATGATTGGTGGAATATTAAGTTAGAATTTTTACTATATTTAAATGACATATACCTTTGTAGAAACAAAATAGAATAAAATGAGCTTTCTTAGCTTAAATTCTTGTTTAAATTAGTACTTCCTGATTAGCTATTATCATATGCATTTTTTATAAAAAATTAGACCTTTATAAACTTTTAAAATTGCTTTTTTATTTATAAAGGGCATTCTAATATTTTATAAGATAATAACCTTCAAAGTTAATCAGATAATATTTTTAATTTTATTTAATCTTATAACTAATTTATAATTTTTGGAATCATAAGATCTTTTAGATTTTATGTTTTGAAAGTAATATTTATATTTTAATTTATATATTTGATTTTATTTTTAGGTCAAAGATTTCGAAGATGATTACTTCTTTAATATTTATAAATAATTTGTAAAAGAATTAATATAGTTTTTTTAAAATTAATATGATAATATTTCTGATACTTTCATGTATTTTTGTTAAAAAGAAAACTAAAATTTAATTAGATGTATTTATTTTTATATTTAATAACATTTTAAATAATTTTTTATTATAATAAAAAAAAAGAAAATAGCAAATTAGATTTATGTGAAGCTGAATAACAAAATTATTATACATATTAAAATACATAATAATTATTAAAATAAACAATTGAATAAATAGATGAATTATTAAATATAGATAAGGTTAATTTTTTAACAGAAAATTTATCTATAAGTAAATATTAAAAATTACAATAATAAGCATTCGCAAAACATATATATTTAGTTAATTAATAAAGAGTTAAGAAAAGTATTATTAATAAATATTAATATCAATCTTTAAATTAGTTAACTGAATTCATATTATAAATAAAAAATTAAGATAATTAAAAATTCTTGTTATGTTTAGAATAATATTAAAATATTCTCAATAATAATTCAAATTAAATTAATAATAAATAAAGAATTTACACTTTAAATCTTCTTAATAATGTTCTAAATCGAATTCCTTAAAATTAGGTTAATTAAGTAAAGTTTTTAAGCCTTCTTTGTCAAGCTATTATAAAGGTTTAAGAAAAGAAAATTAAGATTTAATATATAAATACTTTAATTGATTATTTATCAAATCATTCAAATTAAATAAAATAAGTTTTTTATCAATATTTATTGTAAGATTAGTAAAATTAATTTCTTCTATCTATCAAAAATTTAATTTAAGATACTTTTAATGAACTTAAAGAATTTTAGAAAGCTGAAAATATACAAAATGATGAAGAAAAAGAGTAAAAAATAATATTAATAATATTTTTTTTAAAATAAAAATAATAGTTAAAACTTAAAAATTTGGCAAAATTTAATAAATTCAAAAATATAATTTACGGATAAAGATTATTTTTAGAAAATAATAAATTAAAAAATATAATAATTTATCAAAATTCTATAATTAATAAAAATATCATGTGAAAATAATTTTTATTAAATGAAAGACTTCTTTAGAATTCAAATAAATATAAATGGAAACTAAAAAGAATAATAGATAAATTTTATTTTTCTTCTTTCAGAATTATTTTCAAAATATATTAGAAAATTAATAAATTAATCGAATTTATAATTAGGGATTACTTTTATAGAAACATTTATTTAATTATTATAAGGTCCTTCCATTTTAAATCAATACGAATTATCTTAAACTAAGTTTTTGGAAAATATTGAAGATTTAATGATAGGAATATTTGAGGATAAAAGTATAAATGAAGAGTTTAAAAATTCATAATTACTATAATTTAAGTATTAAATAATAACTACTTTAATTTTACTTTTAGAAGCTAATGATAATAAAGAAATAATTGATAGAATAATTACTTTTTTAAATCCTTAAATTTTATTTAAACAAATACATTTGTATCATATTAAATATATGGAAACTATTGATCTATTAAAAAAGTAAAGAATTAGAGGTATTTATTATTTACTTAAGGAAAACCTTTTAGAAGAAAATATTTTTAAAGAATTTTAAAATCTACTGAATATTGAACATATTTAAGAGTTTTTTAATAATAACAATATTCAAAAAGAATCTGTATAAATTGCTTTAGTATAAAAAAGTGCAAATAAATATTTAGATTATTGTTATTAGAGTATAATTTTAATTTAATATTTATCATTTTATAACTAATCTTTCAAATAATAATGTAAATACTCTAAATAAATTCTCGAAATTAACACTTTCAAATCTTATTAATAATTAAAAAAATAACTACTGTCAATAGAAATTATTAACCAATTTAATAGTATTTAAAAAATATATTTTCAGAAACATCCTTTAACCTATTATTTATCTAGAACTTCAAAAGTATTTTAATAATTATATTTATATTTTATTTAAAGATATAAAGGAAAAGTTTTTAGAAAATGTAAATATTAATACAGCAAATGATAAAATTTAAGGATTCCTGCAGACACAAATTTAATTTTAAGATGAAATGATGCATTTTTTGAAATTAAATGCTTTTGGAATTAATATATAACTATCTTTTATGTAGTAAGTTAAAAATATTAATTTGCTCCTTATACTTATTATAACATTCTTTTTATTTTTTGATTTATTCAGTATTATGAATTAGTTTTTTTAATTTATCGCATTATTACAACTAATAATTTCATTACTTATTTGGTTTTTATGGGCCATTCTAGAGTTACCATTAGAGTAATATTATATATATAAAAAATATAGCTTATAAATATAATTTATTTGCATTTTTAAGTTATTTAAAAACTGAAAGAAATATACAATATAAAATGGAAAAATATAAGAGAAATATGATGAATTTAAAATTATAGATTATATTAGAAATAATAAAAAATAAACAAATAATTTATTTGACTCTTAATATAATTTTATCTATTTTAGGATTTTCAGTTTCGAAAATATTCTACTGTTTTCTTCTTTTGGATATAATAGATAGATCTTCTGTTTTAAAAAATATAATAAAATCAATAACTATAAACTCTAAATAGTTAATGCTTTTAATAATTTTAGGAATTATACTCTTATTTATTTATTCTACTATTGCTTTTTATAGTTCTATTAAATAAACTTTTAAATATAATAATAATCCTGAATTAGAAATTTGCAATTCACCTTGGGATTGTTTTTTATTTATATTAGGTTAAGCTTTAAGATAAGGTTATATAAATCTAAATATAAATTAATAAATAAAATTAATTTTGTTATATTAAAGGTGGTGGTATTGGGGATATTGTCTAAATGCCAGATCCTTTTGATTAGTAGAATTATATTAGAAGATTTTTTTATGATCTGACATTTTACATACTTATTAATGTAGTTTTTTTGAATATTATTTTTTGTATTATTATTGATGCTTTTGCAGAATTAAGAGATGAGAAAAAAGCAAGAGGTTTATATTTATATAAAAAAATATTTAAATTTATAATTTTTAGATAATCATCAAGGAAACAAATGCTTTATATGTAATATGGAAAGAGAAAATTTAGAAAATCAAGGAATCAATTTCATCAAACATAGAAAATAATAACATAATTTATGGAATTATGTTTTTTATATTGTTTATTTAAAAACAAAAATAAAGATTTAATTAATGGAACAGAATTTTATATACAAGAATAATTAAAATAAAATAATATATAATGGCTACCTATAGGAAGGGCAAATTTTCATAATAATGAAATAAAGTAAAAAGATTAAAATATAAAATTAAATTAATGATTAAAAATAAAATAATAATTAATTTAATTAAATATATTCAGTATTAATTTTGATTTATAATTAATATATTACTTTTAATATGCTCATTTTTATTTTTTATGTGGTTCTATTTAAAAACCTCTATCAAAAAAATGGTTATAGTATTATTTTCTTGTCTCTTTTTTTAAAAAAAATATGTTATAAAAAATAAATAATTGAAAAATAAAACAAAAAAGATAAAATTATTATAATATTAACTAATAAACATTATATAATATTTATTTTAATAAAATATTATTTATTAAAAAATTTAATAATTTAAAAAAATGTAAAACGATAAATTAGAGTCCACAAAAGTTCTTCCTATTTAAGATCTTATTTCGAAAAACTTTAAACATATCGAAAATTTTCCAATACAAGGAATTACATTTAAGGATATATCTCCAATGTTGTATAATCCTTAAATATTTAAATAGATAATCTAAGCTTTTGCACTTTAACTATCTGAAACAAAATTTAATTATTTAGTTATTTTGGAATCTAGAGGATTTATTTTTGGATCTGCGTTAGGATTATAAATTAATAAAGGATTAGTTATGATTAGGAAAAAGGGGAAATTACCAGGTTAGGTTGAATAATAAAACTTTGATTTAGAATATGGAAAAGATGTTTTTGAAATACAAACAGATGCTATTAAATAAGGAGAAAAAGTTGTTATTATTGATGATATTTTAGCTACTGGTGGTACTGCACATGCTGCTTCTAAACTTGTGGAAAAAATCGGAGGGAAAGTTGAAGCTATTGCATTTCTTTATGAAATTAAAGGCTTAAATGGACGCGAGAGATTATAAAATCATAATATAATTACTCTTCATTCCGAATGATTAATTTTAAATAATATAATAAATATTAATGTATTTGCATTTTTGTTTTAATAACTTATTTACCAAATTAAATTGAGATTTTTTTTAACTAAAATATTATAAGCAATATGCTTACAAAAAAAATGTAAAACAAATATATAAATGTTGCAAAATGGCAAAAAAATATATTAAATTTATATATATTATTTTAAAATTATTACTTTTAAATATATATTAAAAATAAATTGCTTTTAAAAATATAAATAATTATAATTATGGTATAAAAAAAAAAATTAATTTATATTATTAAAATTAGTATTTACAATTTTTTTTTTAAGATTCATAATAATTAAAAATAATAATAATATAAGAAAATAAAATATCTAAAAGAAAAAAAAATATTAGGAATGTTATTAATTAAAAATTAAAATATTTTTTCTAATATTTTTAAAATATATCAAAACAATAAACAAATAAAAAATTATTTTTATATAAATAAAATTTTAATGGAAACTGTAAAAAAACCAACTGTGAGTTTAAAATCACCAATAATGGGTGTTTTTTGTTAAAAAGAATTTGAGTAACTAACTAAAAAAGAATAAATTTATAGCTATTATTTTTCTTAAGCTGCATGGGAAGGTTCTAAAATATGCTATTTTTAAAAATCATACGAAAGTCCGGCATTATTTATAATTTTGTAATTAACTTTTAGTGGTCAAACAATTGACTAATTAAGAAAAAAATCTATAGAAGTAAAAAAATATTGTTTTTTATACAAATATAATAAATAAAAAGAATGGTATAACAGAAGATTAATTTAATTAATTTGTTGTCTATTCAGCTGCTGTTTTTAATAACTGTGGTAATTATAATAGTTTTGGAGATGATAAATTCATTCCTGAAGTAAACGAAATAACTTTTTAAAAAATATTATCTCTTTCTGTAAATTTTACAACAACATACGGAAGCCTTATAACAAATATATACAATGAAATAAAGCCATATTTATATGGTAAAAAAAATCTATATATAAAATTAATATAAGATATACATAAGAGAAAAAATATAAATAAATAAATATATATATATATATATATATATATATATATAAATATTTACATTTATTTATATCTATATTTATATTTATATATAAAGATATTATAATTAAATAAAATATTAATATTAATATCTATATATATATACTTTTATATATTATAATATTATTTAAATAATTTAAGAGCATACTAAAAATCTTAAAAGAATTGGATTACCACCTAATGAAGGCTCAACTGGATATTATTCATCTAATTTATGTAATGAAGAAATAGAAATCATTGATGAACTTTTGTAAATTTTAAATATTAGTTCTCTTAATACTCGTATTGTGAAATTTTGTGAAAATAAATATGCAGTTTTAGTCGCTTCTGTCAATTAATAAAAGATTTCTCATATTTATAAAAAAAAATAGATTGATATTTTATTTGGAGATTTTTCTCCTTTAATCAGAAGAATTACTTAATCTCTTGAGAAATCACTTCCTTTTGTGGCTAATAAAACTTAAGAAAAAATGGTTAAAAAATACATTGAACATTTTAATATTGGAAATATTGATATTCATAAAGAATCTTAAATATTCTGGGTCAAAGATGTAAATCCTGTTATTGAAACTAATATTGGATTTATAGAAACTTATTTAGATCCAAAATAAGTAAAAAAAAAATATTTTATATATTTATAGATTTCTATTTTAAGTTAAGAGCTGAATTTGAAGGATTTGTAGCTGTAGTAGATAAAGATAGGTCAAAAAAAACTAAAAATTTTGTAGATTAAGCTGAGAAGTTTTTAAGCATGCTTCCTTGGCCAAAAGATTTTGAAAAAGATCATTTTTTATAACCTGATTTTACATGCTTAAGCGTTTTGGCTTTTGGATCTGCTGGAACACCTTTAGGAATTAATATTCCAAATTATGATGATATTAGATAAGAGGAAGGATTTAAAAATGTGTATTTAGGAAATTGTATAACTTCTCCTAAGGAAATTTTATTTTTAGACTAAGAAGATGTGGATATAAAAGTTAAAAATTTTCCTGCTGTTATTTATCATAAGGTCATTTTCCATGAATTATTAGGACATGGATGTGGAAAATTATTTAAAAAAGGAAATTATGACGCAGAAAATATTATAAACCCTTTAACAAATGAAAAAGGAATTAATAAATGCTATGGAGAAAATGATACTTGGAATTCTGTTTTCTAAAATCTTTCTAATCCTTACGAAGAATGCAGAGCTGATTCTGTGGCTTTGTATTTCAGTTGCTTTAAAGAGGCTATTGAAGTTTTATAACCTGAATAATTGGAAAATTGGGAAAGTATTAATATTGCTACTTTCTTAGAATTCATTTATTAAGCTTTGATTGGACTGTAATTCTATAATGTAGAAGATAAAAAATGGGGATAAGCTCATATTAATGGCAGATGGGTCATTTTGTAAGTTTTATTAGAAGGAGGAAATGGATTTGTAACTGTTGAAAAATGTTAACACCCTGAAAATAAAGAAAAAGATTGGATTAAAGTTCATATGGATAGAACTTAAAGTTATTAATTTTATTTTGTTTAAGATTTTTTAATTTTTTTTAAAAAAAAGTTAGAACGACAGGATTAGAAAGTATGAAAAAATTCCTTTTAAAATTATAAGTCTATAAATCTACTGCTGATTTCGCTGAAGCTAAAAAAATGTTCGATAATTATTCTTAAGTTAATGAAAAGTTTTTGGAAATTAGAAAAATAATCATAGATAATAAAAAGCCAAGGAGATTAGAAGTTTAAGGTAATTTATTGATGGATTATTCTGGAAAACTTAATTATAAAATTTATGAGGAAAATTTTGACGGAGTTATTTAAAGTTATATTGAAAGATTCCCTTATTTCGATTCAGAAATGTTCGATTTATGGAATAAATATAGAGAAATATATAAACCTGCAATATGATTATTTACATTTAGAATAAAAAATATTAATTATTATTAATTTTTAAATAAAATACAATATTTATAATAATAAATAAATAAAAATAATATATATATTAAAAATATATATAATATTTAATTTTTTTTACTTTTTCTTATTATTTATGAATATTTAACATAGATATATCTATATATTTTATTATATATATATATTAAAAATTAAATATTTTTTTAAATAAATTTAAAATATTTAAAAAAGTATATAATTAACTAAATAAATAAATAAATATCATTAATAAAAATAATTAATAAAGAAAAAAAAAAACTCAAAAAAAAAAAAGATAAATAATGTCCAACGTTCAATACGTGAATTCGAAAGCCGAAGTATTAAGAAAATTTCAAGCCTTAGCAATGAATATTCATGCTTCAATAGGTCTCTAAGAAGTAATGAAGACAAATTTAGGTCCCAAAGGAACATTAAAAATGTAAATAAAATAAAATAATATTATTAAAAGTTAAAAAAAATATCTATAAAAAAAAGGTTAGTAGGAGGAGCTGGTTAAATTAAGTTGACTAAAGACGGATCTGTATTATTACATGAAATGTAAATATAACATCCCACAGCTGCCATGATTGCTCGCTCAGCTACAGCCCAAGATGATATTTGTGGAGATGGAACTACATCTAATGTATTATTCATTGGAGAACTGATGAAATAAGCCTAAAGATTAATCTAAGATGGAATTCATCCTAGAATAATTACAGACGGATATGAAGCTGCAAAACATGAAACTCTCCGTTTTTTGGATGAATTTAAAGTTTCTTACAACGATGATTAGATAGATAAAGCCCTTCTCTTAGCAGTAGCAAGAACATCCTTGAATACAAAATTAAGTCCTGAAATTGCTAACTAATTAGTAGAAATAATAGTCGACTCAATTTATTGTATTAGAAAATCTGAAAGGCCTATAGATCTTCATATGGTAGAAATTATGCATATGGTACACAAGTTATCTACTGATACTCGTTTAGTAAAAGGTTTAGTATTAGATCATGGGGCAAGACATGCTGATATGCCGAAAAAATTGAAAAACTGCTATATTTTAACCTGTAATGTTTCTTTAGAATATGAAAAGACAGAAGTAAATTCAGGATTCTTCTATTCTAATGCTGCAGATAGAGAAAAGTTGATGCTTTCTGAAAGAAAATTCACAGATGAAAGATGTATGAAAATAATTGAATTAAAAAGAAAAGTATGTGATGGAACTAATAAAAACTTCGTCGTTTTAAATCAAAAAGGTATAGATCCTATTTGCTTAGATTTGTTTGCTAAAGAAAATATTATTGCTTTAAGAAGAGCAAAAAGAAGAAATATGGAAAGGCTTGTTCTTGCGTGTGGAGGAAATGCTGTTAATTCAGTTGAAGAATTAACTGAAGATGACCTTGTAATTTTTTTATTTTATTTTGAAAAAAATTATTTTTTACAATTAAAAGGGTTGGGCTGAAGAAGTACATGAACATACTTTAGGGGATGATAAATATACATTTATTGAAGGAGTTAAAAATCCTAAATCATGCACTATTTTAATTAAAGGACCTAATGAACATACTATTGCAATGATAAAGGTAGTTTTTTTATTTTATCTATTAAAAAAAAATTAAATTCTTATATTGTTTAAAAGGATGCTATTAGAGATGGTCTTAGGGCAGTTAAAAATGCTATTGATGACAAAGGAGTTATTCCTGGGGCCGGATCTTTCGAAATTTCTGCTTATTGCAATTTGTAGAAATTCAAAGATTCAGTTAAAGGTAAAGCTAAAATGGGTGTTGAAGCTTTTGCAGAATCATTGCTTGTTATTCCTAAAATTATTGCTGAAAATTCAGGATATGATGTTTAGGATACTATTCTTGAACTTATTGATGAATATAAAGAGAAAAAAATACCAGTAGGTATTAATACTATAGAAAAAGGAACAATTTCTCCTATTTAATCTGGAATTTATGATAACTATATTGTAAAGAAATAATTCCTTCATATGGCTCCTACTTTGGCTTAATAACTTTTGCTTGTAGACGAAGTAAATAATTAAAATTATATAATTATTAATTAAATTATATTATAACTTTAAATATAGATTATGAGGGCTGGTAAGTAAATGGGAGGAGGTGGTCCAGGTCAAATGTGAGATTAATATTAAAAAAAAAAAAAAAAAAAAATTTAATAATAGTTTTTTTATTTATAAAATCATTAAATATTTATAAAATAAGTATTATAAATTTAATTTAAAAAATTTATTTAATAAAATAATTAAATAAAAAATCTAAATATTTAATAAATATATTTATATATATTAAAAAATAAGTTAAAATAGAAAAAAAAATATAAAAATAAAAAAATATATATAAAAATAAATATGATATATTAATTAAAAATATTATTAAAAAAAAATATTATTATATATAAATATATATTTAAATATAAAATTATATATATATAATTAATTATACATATTTATTTATTTACATATCTTTTTTTAATTTCTTTTATATTTTTATTATATTACATATTAAAATGAAAGATTAAAAATAACTTAAATTTTAAATTTTAAAAATAAATTTTTGTATAGATATTATCTTTAACACTTTTGGAAGTATTTTGATTTTATTCTCATATTATAATTTATTTCTTTAAAGATAAATTAATTAACTTAATAATTAAGATATTGATATAATTTAAAAATTTGATTTAATTTTTATATCATTGTTTAAATTATCTTTAATTTTATTATTTGATTTAATTTCATTAAAATAAAAATAAAAATAAATCTATATATATAACATTAGATTTGCAATTAGTTATTTTTTGAATTGTATTTATTCAATTTGGAATGCGTAGAAAATGCCATCTTTTATAAAAATCGAACATTTAACAAATATTTATATTCTTACATTTTTATATGGTAAATTTTAAAATTAATTTGATTAATTTGAATTTTTAAAACATTTTTAAAAAATAAATATTGCTATTTATTCTTGTATTAATTTTTTAATTCTTTCTCATAATTTAGGCTTATTTTAAATTTTATGATTTAATGTTTTATTTGTTAATTTTTTATTAATAAAATTATTAAAACAATATAATAAAATTTGATGTATTTGACTAAAAATAATATATTTTTATTTATAGATTATAAAACTTATATCTAAACAAATTTTCAATTTAATTATATTTTACAAATATTTTTTAATAATTAAAATCTATTAAATTTTTTTTATTTTAATATATTATATTGTGAATTTAATAATCTTTTTATAATATATTTTATTATATCTTTAAAAAGAAAAAAAAAATTATTAATTTTTTTTTTGAGTTTATTTTAAATTTTTGACTATGTAAAAATTATTATTTTCATAATTTTTTTTTATTTTAAAAAGTACGACTTGACTTGTTTATTACTTATTATATTATTGTGTTGTAATTAATTATTAGATTTTATTCTCATTTTTTTAATTTTTATTTATTTAGAGAATTTTCTATTATTTCTATTTGTTTCTTCTTAAATCATTTGTATTTATACATCGATTTTATTAAATATAATATTTTTTTTTATGAAAAAAATAAATATATTTTTGCATTTTAAAATTTTCCGATTTTTAATTTTTAGTATTTCATTCTTTTTTAGTATTAATTTATTATATACTTTATATTTGGATGCATTTTTTTATCTCAAATGTTAATTTTTTTAATTTGTTTTAGTAAAATAAATGAAATTAATTTTTATTTAATTTTATTACGTAAATTATTAATAGATACATTTCATTTATAAATAGAAGAAACATTCATCTTATTGAATTTTTAGTCTACAGAATTTTAGTCTCATTTTAATAATGTTTTTAAATATTAATTTTCTATTATTATAATTATTTAAAGTAGCAATTATTAGTATATAAGGAATACATTATTTTTAATTTTTATATCTTTTAAGTTATTTAAGTTATATCGAATTAAAGATTATTTTTTTAGCTATTTATTGTTAATTATATTTTATTTATATAGAATATCTTTTACTATTTTAATAGCTTGAAAATTTATAATTATTTAAAACCTAACTATTATAATATAGAATTTTTATTGCATGTAATTAAAACTGAGTTCGAAGTTTATTCATTATCAAAATCATTATTATATAATTTATTTGAAAATTTTGATTTTTAATAAATTAATAATTAATTTTTTAGAAAAGGCATTAAATATATTTTATATTAGTTTATAAATTTTTAAAGTACTCAAAATTCTCAAATAAAAATAAATCAAAGATATTTGAATTTAAATTTGAGACAGAATTTCGTCCATTCAAATGAAATTTTCAAAATTAAATAATAAGTGTTTGTAATATGGTTGTTTTTATTAGCTTCTATACATTTTAGAGCATAATATTTATCAATATTAAACTTTTTTCTTATTTCTTTAATATATTAATATCTACATGAATTTTACTACTATAATACTGTTAAATTTTTTTCCACACTAAAAATCAATATATTGATAATTTTTCGATGAGTGAAGCAACTAGGGTTTTTTATTTTTTTTGGTTTTTTTTGAAAATTTGAGGAGTAGACATAGACAATATTATATGATTTATTCAATAATAATAATTTTTGAATTCTATTTATTTTAAACTAATTATACAAAACATGATTTTTTATAATTTCTATAGTATGTATTTTTTAATGATATGTATTTAATATATGGAAAAGCAGATATTTAGCTTCTATAGAAACAAAAAAGTGTGTTTTTTATTAACCCTAAAGTATTTTCCTGTATAAATTTGCTATTTTTGGATTCTCAAAAGCTAAATAACAACGAATTAAGACATAAGAATGCTTCATAACTAAATAAATTTACAGATAGCAGATTATATTTTTTGTCTACCTGCTACCTTTTATTAATTATTTTTATTTATATATTTTGTAATTTAAAAAAAAAACTTCCGGTACTGCATAACATGGATAGTCACATGCTGTTATCAATAATTCATATTCTTATGTATTTAAAAGCCCGAAATAAATAATTTTTATTTGTTTTTCATGATTTAATAAAAAATCTTCAGGTTTCATATCTCTATTTACAATATTTAATTTTTGAATATATTACTTTTAAACGCATTTTTATTTTATATTATTTTTTAAACGCATATTTTTAATAACATAATCGAAAAAAAAAAGATAATAATTAGCAATAATTGAATAAGAGCTAAATATCAAAAACTATGATTCAGCTTATTTTGAAATAAAAAAACTTATAAGTATTCTAATATATATGCAACTTTTTGGAGATAGATAGATAATAATAAAATTTTAGAAAATATATTATTCCTTTATAATCTAAAATTTTGACTATTGATAATATCGAATATCTCAAAGCTACCAAAAATTTAAACTATATATCAAGATTTTTAATTAAAATTAAAAAATAAAAAATAGAAAAATAATAATTTATCTAAAAAAGAAAATACATAAATATATTATGTTAATAAAATAAAAATTATTCTTAAAAACTGATTTAAATTCTTAATTATACTAAATTAATTATTTTAATAAAATTTTGATAAAATAAATGAAATTGAATAAAAAAAAATTAAATTAAAATATTTATTTTAATTTCATTAAAATACTATACGTTATTTATATTTTAAAAATAATATTCCCATAATAATAAGAATTTTCAAAATGATAAATATATATTTTTATTAAAAAAAAAAGATTCTTAAAATGTCTTTAAATTATGAATTAAATTATTTTTTTAAAAAATAAATAAAATAAAAAAAAATTGATTTTGATATTATATTTAAAAGAAGTTAATAATTTTCATTTTCTAAACAGTTGTTTTTAAGACGATAATTATTTTAAAACTTTATTTCTTTATTTTATTTAATTTTAATAATTAATAAATTTAAACCTAAAATGATATATTATAATTTATGATTAATTCTTCCTTGGAGTTCAATTTTATAATAGAGAAGTTTTCTTTTTTTTATTAGTATTAAATAATTCCTTATTCTTTATAAATTTCAAAGTATAATCACATTTTTTTTTTTTATCTAAAAAAGTATTTTTATAGAATAGTTTTTCATAAATATTTTTTATTCTTGAAGTCTGATTTGATTTATTTTAAATTAAAAAATATCTAATTTTTTATTTTATTTAATTATCAACTTAACATAATGATACTTATTTGTTTATTTATTTCAAATTTTACTGTTATTGTTATTAAAAAAGTTAACTTTTATTTTATTTCTAATCTCTTTGTGATTTTGTATTTTTCTATATTGGATTTTCTTATGCTATTATTAATTTAAGTTTATTTTTTTACATAATATTTTCAAGATGATTTGCTTTTTATAATATAATTTATAATAAATCAGTTTGTTCTAATCCTTTAGATTTCGAACGTTAATATTCATGAGTTTCTTCTTTATATAAAGGACTTTTTATTTTTTATATTTGTAGCTATTTCATTGTATTACCATAGTTATGTCCATAATTATTTTAAATTAAATTTATATCTTAGTCTTAAGATATACTATTTGAAGAATCGCCTTAATTGGGCTTTATTTTTATAAATTAATTATTTTTTTTTATATTGAATTCAAAATTCATTTATGAAATTTAATTTATTTTATTTATTAAAAAAAAAATTAATTTTTATTTTTTCTTTATTATATATTTTTTTATTAAAATGAGTGAAAACAAAGATAATGTAATGGAAAAATATGTTGCATTAACAACAAGATATATAGAAAACAATGTTAAATGTATAAAAATAAAATTAATATATAATTAATACAAATTTAAGTTTAAAATAAATTTATCATTTTTAAATAAAAGTAAGCAACATGAAATTATTTACTTTAAATAAAATGAATGAAGCTGCATTAGTTACTTTTAAAAAAAATGAAGAAAAAATATTTGTTATTGAATAATAAGTTTAATAATCAAATGAATAATGTTTTTTCAATTAATAATTTAAATTTATTTTTTATTAATTTAATATTTAAGATAATTAGCTTCAATAATATTTTCTAAAATTGATGAAATAGGAAATAATATATAAGGCATGGAATCTTCAGTGGAATATTTAGATGTTATATTATCAAGGATAGGTATTTTTTTAAAAAAAACTTAATTAATTATAATATGGATATTTTTTAGAATAAAAACTAAATGATTTATAATCTTTAGATTGAAAAATTAATTAATTTTTGGATATATTGATTATACGATATATTTATTTTATTAAATTGTAAAATTAAAAATATTTTTTTGTTTTATATCTAATATATAATTTTATTTTTTTATATAAATTCAAAACTTCTTATAAAAAAGTATTAATTTAATCAATCAAATTTTCTTGATTTTAAATAAAATTTTTAACATGGGCATATAATACTATAATAAAGTAAATTATTTTAGAAAAATATTGACAATAATTATTTAGATTAATAAAAAATTGAAATATAAATTATATCTTAATCATAAAAAAATTTTTATATAGTATTAAGTTTATTAAAATATATAATCTAAAAATACTAACTTTCTAAAAAACAATTTTTAAATAATTTTTTTTATCTAAATCAAAAATCTTAACTATTATCTCTACTTTTCCTATTGAATATAGTACTTTATTTTTTTGATGATTAAAAAACAATACTATTATTATTTGAACTATTTTTCTTTGAGGATTTTCTTTCAGGTGATTTTAAATAAATATCAGATGTAGTAGGAGAAAATGTAGACGATTATAAAGAGTTTATGCCTTATTAATTAATTTTATTAGAAATAATAACAGAAGTAGTATATTATTTATTAAACAATCCTTAGTTGAAAGTTTATAAGAGTTTTTATCTTTTAATTTTTTTTAATTAATCATCAATTTATTAAACCTCATTTTTTTATTCATCAAGCATTTTCTTAGCTAGCTATTTTTCCCAACTTTTTTTAAGTTGATGTACTGGAGTTGATTCTTAAGTTTAACTTCTTGTACTTATTTTAGAACTATAAAGCTAATAATCTTCACTTATTTCAATCAACGGCTTATTTTTAGATTTTTGGCTTCTTTTTGGCTACTCTGCTGATTCTATAGAATTATTAATTTCAAAATTTTTAAATGTTACTGATTTTTAAACGATATTATTATTTCGTTGAATCGATTTTGTTTAAATATTTATTAAATTTTATTCCTTCTTTTATTCATTCAATTCATTTTAAAATTTAATACTTTCTTCACTTTTTAAACAATTTTCAAGACAGTTTTCTAAATATAATTAATTTTTATTTATATCTTTACTATTGTCAGTATTTCTAGATATAATCTTTTATATAAATATTTTATTTATTTATATATTTAAAAAATATAACATTATTTTATTCCGTTTTTATTTATTCATTATTAGATTATATTGTGCATAAAATGGGTCTTTACGTAGACTAGCATGTAATTAAATTGTTTTTAGAATCGTTCGTATAATTTATAGATGAAAGAGTAAATAGTTTATTTTAAAGTAGTATTTAATTTTTTTTAGCACTTTATGATTTTAGCAATTCATCTTTTTCATCTTTACGCGATTTACAATAGCAAGGACCCATTTTAATATATATTTTTTTAAAAATAAATATTTGTTATGACTTTATATATAATAATCTTTTATTAATTTCATCTATTAAAATTGACTATTATATTGAATTAATGTGATAAAATTAATATAAATGAATTTAAAAAACTATAAATTATTATTTAAATAAAAGTATTCATTTTCGAATAATTAAAATAAAGTTTAATATACTCTATTATATTTATTTAATTATTTTTTTTTATCTATAAAATTTTAATAGCAATAAATATTTTTATATCTTTTATAATTTTATATTTTAATGTTGTTTCTAGAAATAAAAAATTGGATTTAATTAGTTGATTTTATATAAAATGTTCAATCAATAAAATAAGATTTTATTTCTATTTAAATAAGGTTTAATTTTTTAAATAAATAATAGAATATAATTTTCTTTTGTTTTTTTTTTAGTCTTTGTAATAAATAGGATTAATATAATGTTAATTTACTTTAATAAGTTTTCTGTTATAAATTTTCTGGTCTGAAATTATATTTCTAGTAATTATTAATTTTTTGACAAAAAAATAGCATAAAATAAATATATAAAGAAATGGATTAATAGATAATTAAAATTTATTTAATTTATGCTAGTTTTTAGATAAATAAGAATAATTAATATATTTTAACATTAATTTATAGTATACTTTTATTTTAATTTTTTTAATATCAAAATAAGTAAATCTAAAATTAATCAAACTACTATTGAACGGCTTGGATAAACGATATAGAAATTTGATAATTTATAAATTTTTTAGATTTAATTTAGGTATTTTTTTTTATAAGAGTATTTTTTTAATGTTTTTAAGTAAAAATAAATTCTAAGATGAAGGAGTTATAAAGTTTTTTAGACTAATTAGAAATTTAAAATAAATATAAAACTTTACAATTGATATAAAGTTATAAATAATTTAATTATTTAATTTTTATTAATTTGATTAAAAGGTAAAATGGATTAACCTATAAAAGTGGAGAAGAAATAGGATAAACATTAAAATAATTTAAAAATATAAAAACTTTAAATATTCAGCTTTCGTACATTTTTTATTTTTTAAATTAGTCTAAAGAATTAAAAGGTAAAATAATATTGAATCCAAAGGATTAATAGGTATTTGCTAAAGTTTTTTAGAAGATTCAAATAGTCTTTAACATTTAACGATTGATGTAAGGTTATTTAAATCAAATTTAGGAATTTGAAACAATAAAATAATTAAAAAATATACAGTTCAAATAACATATTTGATGAAGGAATTGTTATTCTTTCTTAATGTTTATAAAATTAATAAAAAATAAAATATTTATAATTAGATTTAGAGTAAAAAATATAATAATAATAAATACAAATAAATATAAATTTAGTAATAATTTAATATAAGATGAAGGAATAAATTATTTATTAATTAGTGTGAATAGATTAATAAATTTGAAAGAAATAAAAATAAATATAAGGTTTATAATTTTCAAAAATTTAAATTTATCAAAAAAAAAAGTTATAATAATGTAAATGACATTCAATTAAAAAATTTATTTATTTAAGTAAAGTTGTAATAATTTGAACTTTAAATTATGTAACAATTTATTCTTTTTATTTTTATTTTAATTTTTTATTTTTAAGTGCTAATAAATTATGTAATGATTTTGCTTAAAAACTTGCTTATTATTTATAATTTTTTATTAAATTGAGTATCTTAAATATTGATTTTAAGTATTTATAACAATTTAAATTTAATTTTTAATTTCTTTATTATAGTTTTAATTAAATAAATACATAAACTTATTCAAGATTTATATATTAATTAAGAAAATTAAAGTTTTTATATTTATTTAATTTTGGATTTAAGTAAAAAAAATAAAATATTTTAAATAAAATTAAAATAGAGATAAGAATCAATAAAGAATTTTAGAAAAAACTATAATAAAAAAACTTCCTAAATTAATATGAATAATTAATTAGAAATATATTAAACTGAGTATATAATTTAATTTATATTAATTATATTTTTATAACTAAACTGCATTTAAAAGAAAAATTTAAAATAAATAAATCTAAAAATAAATACAAAATAGATAATATAATGTTAATATTATAAAATCTTATTTCATATAATTTATTAAATATATTTATATATTATATCAGTTAACATTAATTTAAATATTTTTTTAATCGATTTAAATACATTAAAACTTTTGGGCTTCTTCATCATTACTTTCATCTCTTAGAATACCACTTATATTTTTATTTTTTTTATTGATCATGTTAAGAATTTTTTCAAACTATTCATCATTTTGCAAATCTTGGCTTTTTTAATCTTTAGGAGACAAATTATTATATATTGTATTATCGCTATTAAAATCAATACTATTATAAAAGATATCAATATTTTTTACTGCATGTGTAAAGTTTCTAGCAAATTAAGCTGTCATAAAATCGAAATCTTAATCAGATTAAAATCCACAACTTTTAGTTAAGACAACTACTTATTACACTATTTAACTTTATAATTCTGATAAAGATTTAACCTGTCCTACCTATTCGCAAATTTAGTACATTTGTTTAGTTAATTCGTCAATATCGTTTTGGTTGTTCTAATGTTTTTTTTTAGTTGCTTTATTTCAAAATGATACTATACTATTTTTTTTGCCTAATTCAATATTTAATCTACTTCTTTGCAATGAATTTAATTAACTATATTTTTAATTTATTATGCTTAATTTGGATATATATCTTATACTATTAGTAATACTTAATAAATAACTGTTTTTATTAAATTGTAACTCAATTTATTTATTTGACATCCTGATGCTGTTTTCTTAATAGTTGTAAGAGTTTATTCTTTAATTTTTTCTACGAAAAAATTATTTGTTGAATTATAAAGTTTTTGAGATTCATCTTATTATTCTTGTCTAAAAAGATTTATATCATTTATAAGTTTAATCAGAAAGCTAAAAACACATTACAAAAGGGATGAATTAATCTAATGAGATATTTCGTTTATTATCTGTAATGTATAGCTGACTATAATTATTATTTAATAATTTTTTTATGTCATTTGACTGTTTTCAAGTTAATATATGCATTTTATTGACTAATGTAATATATGAAGAAAAGAATTTTGGGATATTTAATGAAAGTTTTTAGAATTTGTATCTATGAAATTTTTTTTTCTTCTTGAATATGTTAATTTTAATTAGGCTTGATTTTCAAAAGAATTATGTTTGAAGATATTTCAAAGGCATGCATTTATAATTTACTTATATTATTGCAGATGTAAAGTAAATTAATAATTAGTTCATCTGTTATAATTGGTAAATTATTAAATTTCTCGTTGCATTCGAGAACTATTTACATTAAGTTAAGTCCTTCATTTATGTATTATATGTCTTCATTTTCCCATTATTTATTTTTACAGGATTTAGGAGATGTAATACATGAAGATTTATTGTCCATGTAATCAGTTATTTCGTTAGAAAGAGTAATTAAAAGACTTAATAGAACTGAACTATCAGGAGATTATTATAAAACATATTTTTGGAAAGAATTATATATTAAATGTTTAAATTCTGGATCAAAATTAAAGGAATTTAGGTTAATTAAATTACATTTTATAATTTTTATTTATAAATGAATTAATATTGGCAAATCAGATGTTTATTAAGAAATTAGAAATTGAAAAAGCTCAAAGGCAGAAGATTTCACTTCAATTTCTTAAGAGTTTTAGAGTATTTAGTTAGACTAAGATATAGCAGAAGAAATTTTTTTATTAATATTTTCTTAAGAGGCTTAAGAATAATTAGGGTTGAGTTAATTTTCGCCTATTTTTATTTTATTAATATTATTATAATTTTAGTAATAGGAAGATTGTTTTGTTATACTCAAATATTCAATAAGAAATTCTAATAAATGAATTTAATAGTTAATTTGAACGCTTTCTTTTTTTGAAAGAATTATTGTTTGATCAATCATTTAATGAATTTACAGCTCTTTTTTCCATTTTGATTTATCGAAGAAATAAAAAAGATTTATTAAAAAACTATTGAAACTTTTGTATTGAAATGATCTTTTTGCAAATATCATAATTATGTTGAAACAATTTTTTATTATTTAGTTTTTTTATTTATTTTAGAGACTATTTGCATTAATTATAGTTTATAAAATAAAGTAAAAAAATAGTAATTATTTCTCGTTTTGTATTACTTGTTGACATTTTGTTTTATTTAAAACTGCTTCGTATGTCATAAGCATTATATTTATTGCATTTAATTATTCTTCTATATTTTCTTAGAGAACTTAGTCCATTATTTTTTGTAAATATTCCTATAAATATTCTATAATATTAAATATTTTATCTGTTATATATGGATCCTTGTGGATTTAGGAAAATTTAATTAAAATTGGTAGAAAATTTAATTAATTTTCTAAATAAAAAGGATTCTATTCTTAATCAAGGATAAAAAGGGCGATTTCTGCAAAATGTATTTCAAAAGAAACGAAATTGTCACTAAAAAAAGTTATTTAGTCATTATTTTATTGATCTTTATTTGCAGATTGTTATTCTTTTTCATTTTTAGAATTTTAATAGGAATTATCTTTGATATTATTCTTAAATATAATATGCTATTGCGTATAGTTTTTTAAATTTTATACTAATACTTCTAATATTATTAGTGTTACCCATTAATTTCCATAATCATTTTTATATAATATTAAACGGGCTAATAAATATTTGATTGTATCAATTAATCTTATATTTGTATCTTGAATATGGTCTGATAATGTACGCGCTTACAATTTTACTTGATTTTCTATTTTTTAAATCTGCTTTTATATGAAATTAGCGTATGAGACTTTACTTTCTTGCATATCTAATTGGGTTAACTTATTTTTTGTATATTCTATTTATTTATATTAAAACTTTTTTTGAGTTTATATGTTGTTGTATGGATGAAGTAGTTCATAGCAATCATCTAATATATTTTAATATACCAAAATTGGTTTTCTTGAACAAAATTATCCCATTTTATTTATTTGTATTTTAAAAAGTTTTATTTATTTATTTGTTTTTAAATTAGTTTTATTTTATTTTGGTTTATAACTTTTAAATTTCTTTTTTTTAATACAAATTTTTTTTATTATTGGTTAATTAGTTTTTCCTTAAAAATATACAATATATTTATATAATATTATTATTAGATAAAATAATTATAATTATTTAACATTTCTATATTATAATTAATAAATATTAATTTAATATATTATTTAAATATTTTAAACTATTTACTAATATATACATATATTTTATAATTTTAAATAATTATTTAACTATATGCATTTATTATTTTCAATTAAAAATATTAAATTATTATTTTCTAAATTATATATATTTTTAATATTATAACTGTTTTATGATCGAAATATTTTTTAAATGATTAATATATAAAATTTATTAAGTTAATAGAAAAAGATTTATATTTAATTCAATTAATAATTAAATTTGGATTTTAAAAATTAGCAATCCAAATATTAGTATAAATAATAAAAAAATTATATTATAAATTTTAGTATAAACTTATCAAAAAAAATTATAGTTCAAAACAAAAGATATTGCAAAATATAAAAAATTTAAACAATAAAAAAAATTTACAAAAAAAAATAAGTAAATTATATCAAAAAAAATTATTTAATATAATAAGAAAATAAATAAAAAATAAAATGAATTAAAATAAAAATATAAAAATAATATATTATTGATAAATAATTTTAGAAAATCTATTAAATAAGATAAATTTATCACAGTATAAGATGTTTATAAAGAAATTTAAAATTTAAAATCGTAAAAAAAAAAATTAATGTATTAAAAAAAAAAATATCAATATATAAAATAAAAAAATTAATTTAATAAAATAAATAATTAAGTTTAAAAATATTAAAATTCATAATAGTAATTTTTCTATATATTTGTAAAAAAATAATTTAATAAAAAGTATTATTTTAATATTGAAATTTTAATTAAATAAATAAATATAAAAAAAAAAATGGATAATATATATAAAAATATATATAAATATATAATTATATTTTATATAATTTATATATATATATATATATATTTATAATTTAAATTTTTATATATATTTTACAAATTATTTTATTAATCTTAGTTATAAGAAATTTATTATATAAATTATGAATTTTAATGGAATTATTTTTATTTTAAATTTTTTATTTATATAATTATTTATTTTTAATATTATTTTAATGTTATAATATTATCATTTTTAATTTTTTTTATTTCATTTTAATAAAAATGTAAATCAATACAATATTTTCTTAATGATTTATATTATATTTAAGTCTTTATCATTATTATTAGTTTTTTTTTTATTATAATAAAAGTAATTAATTTTTTTTTTTTTTAACAATTATTATATTTAAAAATATACTTTTTTTTAAGTATTAATTAATCTTCTTTATGTTATTTAAAATCTTTTATTTTATAAAATTATTTTATAATTTAATTAAAATAATATAGTAATTCATTTTTATTTTTCTTACTTTTATAAATATAATAAATCATAAATTCAAAATTAATAAAGAAATTTTGTTACTTTAATTAAAACAAAGCTTTTGAATCTGCAAGGTATGTGTTTTAATTTTAATATTTATAAAATAAATTAAAATAAATACTCTTTTTTTTAAAAAATTAAGATAATAGAATTAAAACTTGAAATAATAAAAGAATAACATTAAATAGATATAAATCAATTTTATATAATTTATAAATAAGGATAATTTATTTATGCTTCTTAATGTTCTAATGTATCAATTTATATGCAAAAAAAATAAAAATGAAATAAGTGATTTTAGTGGTATTTTTATATTTAAAAAATCATTATTTTAAATATATAATATAGAATTTTAAATATTTGAAAATAATGATATCTTGAATAAAGTATAATAAAAATATACAATCAAATATATAATTAATGAGGAATTGCTATTAAATTATACATTTTTAGCAAATAATTAAGGTATGCAAGTAATAGGAATTAAATAAATATATGAAAAATAATAAAAAGATAATTTAATTTTAAGACTATTATGCTATTCCAATTAATATAATAAATATGGAATATTCTGAATTATAATAAATATTATTAGTGATAAAAAACCTTATAGATAAATGACTTGTAATAACTATATGTTTCTGACTTATAACTGTAAATATTAATTAGACTTTCCGCAGTTAATTTATAATAACTTTTAAATTATTTAATTAAATAATTTAATAATAATGCAATAAATAAGAATAAATTAAGTAGTAAACTGAATAATAACTTGAAAATCTGTAAAACTGCTTATCATAAATCAAATGAAAAATGTTGATTATCCTTTAAAAACATATAAACTAGACTTTGTGACTAAAACAAAAGGTAATTTGGATATAAACTACAAAAAATGCTTATATAAATAGAAAACTAATCAAAATATTGATATTCTTTATTTATATTTATTGATTGAGCAATTGAGTGTTTTTTATATTCGCCTTTATTTACTTTGCTTTAATCAGCAAAATACAATAAAAATTATAACAATGCCAAATTAAATAATTCTGATTATAATTATTATAATTAATAATAGTAAATAAAAATTATAAAAAAAATCGGACATAATAAATAAAAGTTGGTTTTGTAATACTTATAATTTGATAAAAATAATAGATATAGTTAATCTTTTTTCCCATTTTTAATAATTAGTTACTTTAAATTATTTATATGAAAAACATACAGATAAAATGTATATTTATTTATTTTTTAAAAAAAAAATTGTAAATAAAATAAAGATTTAAATAATATTTATTCTTAACCTTTTTAAACATATAATAATTTATTTTTTTTGTAATAATTGGATAAACTTATTAAAATTTATTTATTAATTTTTTTATCATTTTCTTTATTTCTTTTTACTTATTTTTCTTTAAGATTTACTTCATTGTTTTTCAGTTTTATAAATAATTTTCTTTTTCTTTTATTTTACTTCTTTGTTTTTTGCTATTAATTTTCTTTTTTAGACTTTTAATTTTAAGAATTTTCTCGTAACTTTTATAATTTTTTACTTCTAATATCCTTCATCTATGTTAATTTGAAGGAATATATAATTCATCTTATATAGTTTTTATTTTTGTTTATTCTCCTATACATATTTATTTATAGGAGAAGAAAATGTATTCTTAAATTAGGAAGCTTATCTTACTTTTCTTTATATTAAATTTGTCCTTTAGAAAGAAATTTTAAATATATTATTAATTTATAAATATGTAAATTTTTTATAAAAATTAATTTATTTATCTATAAAATTTTTAATTTTTCGCTAATTTTTTAGTTTATAAAATTTGTTTATCTAAATTATGAAAAAGCGCATTTTAATATAATTTAATTTTCAAAAACAAAAAAAATATCAATTAAAAAAAATGAGTAAAAAAAATATTTAAGAACTCAAGAAAATAGAAATCATGAATCAGAACTTTTTTAGCTTTCCTATTCAACAAATAGTAAAAACAAAAAACAAAAAATTATAAATTTTTTATATTTGTTAGGAAACCTTATTAAGATGTAAACTTTATGAAATCGGAGAATTAAATTTACAAGGAAATAAATTATCTACTATCCCTGATATTTAGAATTTTTTAGGATTAAAGATATGTAATTTGAGTTAAAACTAAATTGGATAATTAAGAACTTTAGTGTTTCCTTAATATTTAGAAATATTGGACTTGTCCTCTAATTAAATATAGACTTTATGGGAAAAAGATTAGAAAGGAATAACAGTATTATACTTTAAAGAATTTAAATAAATCCAAAAAATAAATCTTTCAAACAATTTTATTGAGAAAATACCTTAGGAATTTTTATCTTAATCTAAAATAAGTATTTTGGAAATTAATTTATCTCATAATAGAATACAGAAAGGTGTAAAAGTTTTCATTAATTTTTTTAATTTAAAAATGTAAAATATCTGTTTAAATATATTTTTTTATTTTATTTTTGTTAAAAGCTTAAATTTAAGTAATAACCTTCTTTCTAATCATCAAGAGTTTAAATATTTTTAAGGAAAATTATAAAATCTTACTTTTTTAGACGTTTCAGATAATAAGTTTGAGAAGTAAATAAATATTTGACCTTTTTTTAATATTTTAATTTTTTTAAGTAGAAATTGTGAAGAAACAATAAAAAATTATATTTCTTTGAAATGTATCCTTAATTCTAAATTTGATTAAAAGAAAAACAATATAAAAAAAAATGTTATTTATAATTAAGTAAATGTTGCCTAAAAGTTTAATCCTAATAAGATATGCTAGAATATTTTTAAACCTGAAAAAAACATATTCAACTAAAAACATGAAAAATATGAAGAAAACATTAATTAAAATAATAAAATAATCTAATAAATACAGGGGCATTAATAATAAAATTGTAAAATATTTATTTAATTCTATATAAAATGAAATTATATAATATATAGAATTTAAAAGATCAAGATCATAAAGTGAATATTAAATCTAAAATTTTAAATATTAAGCTAATAAAGTTCTATAAACTAATTTATATTCTAAGATTCTTTTTGATATTCCTGAATATTCATAACCCAAAACTAAATTTTTAAAAGAAAAACCTTTCAGTAATAATAACAGCATAATTATTAGTTAGATCTAGAATCTTAATAATAGTGAAGATAATATTGAGCAAAATAGTGATGTAGATGATTCAGGTCGAAAAAATGATAAGAATTTATTAAGCTTGTTGAACTAAAACGATACTTAAAAAAATAATACTATTAACGAGTCTCAAATTAATATTTTAAACTCTCCTTTTTAATGCCTTAACTAATAATATACCAAGTAAATTTTGTTTGTAATATATTTATATAAAATCATACTTTTTAGCTTTAAAGATCATTATTAATCAAATAAAAATATGAAGGTTTCTTATGAAAAATAAGAAAAAGATATATTTTTAAAATAAAATTATGATTTGAAAATTTAATTAGATTAATGTAGATTATAAACTTTGGAATATTTTGGTATTTTGGATTATTTACTGAAAGAAAGTAAACTTATTTATTGAGTATTTATGGATCTTATTTTATATTTTTTATAGTTTTTAAAGATGAACATTTATACATATTTAATTAATTAAAAGAAAAATATTAAATTGATAAGGAAGAAGCCTATTAATTTATCAAATAATTAGTTTAAAAGAAATTTCATATGATTGATAAACATGAGAATGATGAATCTACACAATTATTTACTTAAAATAATTGAAAAAAAAACAGAAAAAATTATTATTGTTTAAAGATTAATATTTTTGTTCGTATTTTTTAAAAATATTTTTATTACTATTAATATTTATTTTAAATTATATTATTAAAAATGTTATATATAAGTATATTTTTTAAAAAATCATTATATATATTTTTATAATAAAAGCTAATGGATATATATTTTAAATGTAAGATTAAAATTATATATAATTATAAAGTTTATACAATATTAATTGAAATTAATATTAATATTAAATATATTAATCAATTAATTCCATAATTATTTTTATCAAGTAATTATTCATTATTATTTTAGTTTTGATGAAAGCTGCCATAATTATCTTAGTTTTTTATTAAATTTCTATAAAAATTATCCTATTATTCAATTAAATCAGCATTATAGTATTATTAAGAAGAATCGTATTCATAATTTTTATTAATTTTACCAGTTTACAATTGTCTTCTTTTTTCTCTAAAGAATTAAAATAAGCAAATTAAAATAAATATAGCAAAATGTATTGAACATGAAATCCATAATGCATTTTAGCTTTTTTATGAATCTTATATTTTCCAATCTTAATATTGATGACCATTTAAAATAATTATTCCAATTATCAACTTCATAAATATTAATATAAAATTATATGGTTTTTTTATTTTGTAAATTTATTACATAAAATATTCCTCCTAAAAAATTTAGAATTAAACAAAAAGAAAGGCCTATTTAATTTTAGTAAAAATAAATATTTAAAATATTAAATAACTTTACAAAACATATATTTATAATTTTTATATTGTAATTTAAAATATTTGTAGAAATCTTTATTTATTTTTGGTTTTATTGAATAATTTATTAAAAACTTAAATAATTTAGATATACATTATGTTTTGATATAATAGAATAATAAATAATAGATATTCTTTAAAAAAATATAGCTTTATTATATATATTTATAATCAAATTAAAAATATTTTAATTATTTAATTTAATTTAAATATATTTTTTTTATTAAATATAATAAATAAATACTTTATGTAATAACCTTTCGAGATAAATATTTATTTGCCTATAATAGGGGCTTCAATATCATTTTTAGTTTTAAAATTAAATAATATTCTAAAAAAAGAAAGTATTAAATTATATAACGTACCAAACCAAAAAGTACATCGATATTGGGTCGGAATTTCTTTATTTAGTTGCATAGCATTTTATTACTTTAAATTTAACAAATTTCATGATATATAAGTATTTGAATATCCAGAAACATTGATATAAGGTAATTTAATGGGTTAGTATGCTATTGGAGGAGCAATTACGGGAGTAGGATATTTTTTAGCATATCAACAATACACAATATTTAATATATATGAAAATAAACAAATAATAGGGTTAAGCGTTTATTATATATTAGCTTATATTGTTAATTAAATAAAACTTGGTTTTGAATAAAGTGAAGGAGTTAATTTTATATAAGAATTCGATTATTAATAATATAATTTTTATTCACTTATTTTTACTTTTTCTTTATTTTTTATTTTCTTTTCTTACGAAGTATTTATTGGATTTTTTTTAGCTTTTGGAATTTTTATTTCTTAAAGCTTTAAAAAAGATTAATTATTTAATATAAGTTTTTTGATTTTTATTGCTATTTTGAATATACTTAATTATGTCTTCAAAAATATAGATTAAATAGGATAAAAAATTAAATTTAAATAATTTGTTTGTGGAAATATATTAGCTGGAATTGGATATGGTTTAACTGGAATTATACCTGAAAATGCTGTTTTACATTTAGCAGTTTTTACTCCTCATATAACTTTGCTATTTATTATATGTTTTATTGTTGGTTTTAGTTCAGCTTTGACTATTTATGTAGTTGTAAATTATGATATTGATAAAAAAATGCAAGAATTGGAAGATAAATTATAATGAAATATTTTTTTTTTTGATAAATTAAACAATATTTTTATTATTATTAATTTCTTTTTTGTAACTTTATAAACCTTTATAAACTTATTAAAAAAAAGGCCATTGTCATTTTTTCTCTCCTTTATATTTGTTGTTGTTTGAGTTTTTAAAAAAAATTAAGAAAAAAAAACAACTAAAACAAAATATGAAAAAATAATATACGTTTTAATAATTTTATTTTTAAAAAAAAATCAATAAAATATTTATTTTTTAAAATATATATTTTGTAAAATTGATTTTTTTTTGAATAATTATAGCAATAATTAAAATAATTCATTTTTATTTATTTTATAATTATTATTAAAACTATAAGAAAGCTGCTTATGTACTACTTTATAAATTATTTATCTAAGGTATAGTTGTTGATGTATTAGCTGTAGTCTAAAAAGGATTATATTAAGGAGCGGTTATTGGCTATTAATAATACTAAGGATAATAATTAGACGGTACTAAAGGATTTGCGAATGAAGGATAAATATTATTCGGTTAATAATAAGAAGTATTTAATAAAGTTTGCATTGGATTCTAGACAGAATTTTGATAATATTATTATTATTATTATTAAGTTAATACATTTTACATGTAATTTTATTATAAAGGTAATATAGTATTAGACTATAGAGAAGGATTAGCAAGCAACGAAGGTTAATATTATTAGTATTATTGCATTTACAATTATTATTAAAGTTATGGGGTAAGAGGTGCCTAGAAATTTGAATTGGGTTATGTTTGACCAAATTAGTTTAAATAAGCACTCTAACTATTATTATACATTTAAGTTGAGGCGAGAAGAGATTATTAAGAATTTTATTAAGATAATTAGATTTATTGTTGTTACATTTGGAAATTATTAAAATCTATCATTTGCATTTACATTTAAATTGGGTCAGAGTTTGTTTTATTTTCGGATGACTTTTCTTGTTTTAAAAGATCTTCTTATTAATTCTGTTAAAGTTTTGTTAGTTCTTCCTTTAGTTTTTGACTATAATCTATATCCATTTAATTTTATTACTATTATTACCTATTTTCATCTAAGTCATATTTTAACATCAGTTGGCTAGGGTCTATATGTATTTAATCTGTTATAAAACTTGTATTTGTTATTGTAGATTATCTATTTTAATTATTTTCTTGTTTTAAAGTTGATGCATAATTTAATAAATTATTTGCATCTTTTCCTTCTATTTATAGTAAAAAATCTGCAAATTTTTAATTTATGTCGCCTTAGTTTGCATTTTGAGCATCTTCTTGCATTTTTTATTAATATTCTATTTTTTTATTAAATTTATATAAATATGTATTAATTGTTTTTTAAAAATAATAACCTTTTTTTAATTTGCAATCAATAGTAACATGTCCTTTATCACCACAAATTTAGCATTTAATTTCGATTTTATCAAACGTAGTTCTTTTATTAAAATAAATAAATAAATTATAAAATATATTAATAAATGTTACTTTGCTGTACATTCCCAAACTCTATGGCCTGTTTAATGACATTTAGGACAAAAATCTTAATTAAGGTAATCAGTAATAATAGCAATTTAATTATAAGGAGTTTCGTTTTTTTTATCTTCCCCTCTTAATATTTCATCTATAAGTTTTGTTGCTTTTTCTAATTATTCTTCTGTTTAAGCAGTTATAAAAACATGTAATTTATCATTTGTATCATTATCAACTCTTCTACTTCCGTTTCCTGAACCTTTTCCTTTAATGCTAATTTTACAACTTGTTTGTTATTCTAAGCTTTTATGGGTGGCACCTTTTGGTCCTATGATTCTTTATTTTAATTACTCTGCATGACTTTCTGGAAGGTATATTTTTTTTGTTTTTTTTAAATGCTTATAATCATGAGGAGGCACAAATGTAGGATTAATTTTCATACATTCTTCTATTAAGTTATGTTTTTCCTTTTATATTGTTTCGTATTCAACTATATCACGTGTATTAATTCTCTTTCCTGATTCATTATATATAGGTTCCGGTGAAGGTGATCTACAATCTTCATCATCTAAAATATTTTTGGTTTTATATAACTACTTATTATTTATTTCATCTAGCCGATATAATCTTATCAAATACTCGAAATCATCGTCGCTTATTTATAAAGGTATATAATTTAATAATGGAGGGTGAAAAGTCTTCTCATATTCAGCTCCCCATCTTGATGGGGCAGGTTCTTATACTGGAGCCTAAAAATATGAATTAATTTTGTTACTTTCGTGTGTTAATGCGAGAAGGCCGTAACCTGTTTTTAAACCTTATAATGGATTAAATATAACTGGGTTTTATATTTTTTAGCGAATTTATGGTCTGTCACCCCAACGTGATTTACGTTTCGGAAGATCATTTTCATCTTTCATTTAATCTTCAAATGGAATTGTAAATATTGTCTCTCCATCTATTTAAATTTAATCAGCGAAAAAATATCCTTCCTTTTTATAATTATATTAGTCATAGTTTGTTTTGTCCTCTTTGAGTTGTATTTCTATTTATTTATTTATTTATTATATTTTAAATATACTATAATTATAATAATAAAAATAATATGTTTTGGATAAGAAAATTGTATATATATGAAATATGTTTTTTTTTGAAATAAAAAAAAATATAAAACTTTGTTTTTTTATAGTTGTGATTTTTTTCTAAGATAATTTTTTTAAGAAATAGATCTTTTTTTATTTCATAAATATTTTTCTTTTTTAAATATTTGTATTTATATATGATATTTAATATTTTTATATTAAAGTTATATAATATTACTGTCTATTTCTTCTTCTCTTATTATTGGATGGTCTTCTTCTGGTAATGGTGGTGCTCCATTTTAAGTTAATATTATAGATTGTTAATTTTATTCTGATGAAATCATTTTTTATTTTTTAAATATTAATTAAAAATATTTTAGTAAATAAAATAAAGAAAATATATAAAAATGTTTAATTTTTTAATTTAATATATTATAATTTAAAAAAGAAAAAATATTAATATAATTTTTTTATAAAAAAATATGAGAATAATGGGAATTTTTATTAAATAAAAAAAATATTAGACACATTTAAATTAATAAAAATCAGATTTTTATTTTATAGTAAAAGAATTTAATATATATTTTTATTTAAAAATTTTAATTAATTTTAATCAATTTAATTTGTTTACTAAAAGATATTCTCAAATAAAATTAAATGTCAATAAATAATAAAAGTATTAAAAAATAAATAATTTAAAGAAAAAATATTAGATAGTTAATAATTGTAAATAGATACAACAAATTAAAATATTATTACTAATATTTAATATTTTTCTAAAATAAAAATTATATTAATTATAATAAATATGGAATATAGCTATAATTATAACTATAAAATATAAAGAGAATATAACAAAAGCGATATAAATTAAGGCGCAATAATAAGAAGTCAAATATTTTCACCTTTGCAAGACTATGAGTTTATGAAAATGAATTAAAATCTTCATGATGATTCATTAAATTCAATAGAATAAACTAACAAAAATCATATAAGTGTATATAAAAAAATAATTATTTATATCAAATTTTTGTATTTTTATTAAACAAAAATAAAATTTTAATAATAGTATACTTCTACCAACAATTTATAATAATTCATTAAAAATGAAAATTTAGCTTAAACTGATTAAAATTTATATTCGATTGAAAAAAAAAATTATTAAAGTAACCTATCTCTAGAAAGTATTGAAAATGAGAAAAAAGTAAAATAATAATTTGTTTAGGAAGAAGACTAAAACAAAGAAAATAATGATGATTAAGAAAATGATGAAGAAAATGAAAAAGAAAATGAAGAAGAAAGTGAATAATCTGAAGAAACAAATAAAATTCAGACCTAAAAATAGGCAATATTAAATATTGTACGGAATAGAAATTAAACAAAAGCATGTAAACGTTATTTAAAATAAAAGAAAGATGAATAACAATAATTATCAGAATCAAATAATGAATTTAAACGTTCAAGTACAAGAGAATAATAGCCTTAAAAAGATTAAATGAATTCTAGTTTAAAATAAAATTTTGGAGCAAATTATTAATGGAAAAAAATAGGAATAATGAAAAGAGTAAAAAATTTAGTAATATTTTATTAGAATAGATATATTATAAAAATATTGTAACTTAAATGACTTACAGCAAAATGCTATTAACGATATTACTTTTTTCAGGTAAACAGATGTTTAATGGAACTTAAATAAATTATTTTAATAAATTCCTGTTTTTGAACCAAATTAGAATTTACATTTAATATGGAATATTATTTTGTTTTCTGTACTTTTTCTTAATTGTATGTTTATTCCTTTGAAAACTTCCCTTGAAATTTAAGTTGAATAAGAAACTTTTATTAATTATTGCTTTTATTAAATTCCTTAATATATATTACTTGTTGATATTTTTATTAATTTTAATATTGCTTTTTATGAAAAAGGAACTTTGGTTGTGAATCATGTTAAAATTTTTAAAGAATATATTAAGTTAAAAAAAAATTATTTTTTTTTACTTTTTTATTTAATATTTTTTTTCTTCTTAAAAGGTTTAATTTTCCACTTAATGTTTTAACAACTATTATATTTATTAGTAATACTGATCATACTATTGTTTAGTGGGTTTAAATGATTAGAATTTTTCAAATTCCTGATTTAATTGGGAAAATAGACGAACACTTTTAACTTTAGTAAAGATTTAATACTATTTTTGAATTAATTAAGCTTTTTATACTTGTCTTTGCTTGCGCTCATTTTGTTGGTTGTGGTTTTCATTTTGTGGCTGTATAAGAAATAAAAGCAGGTAAATATGTTAATATCTGTAAAAAAATTAATTTTTTATTTTTTATAGGAGTTTCCGAAACTTGGTTACATAAATAAAATCTAGCTTAAAGTAATGATTATCTGTTGAGATATTTAAATAGTATTTATTTTGGGTTTATTACTATGATTACAGTTGGGTACGGTGATATATGCCCTGTTACTCCTTTAGAAAAATCGTACACTATTATTATTACTGTTTTAAGCTGTGGTATGTTTGGATATTCAATGAATACTATAGGAGCCATTTTTTAAGAAATATCTAAAAAAGAAGCTTATTTCAAGTTTTTTATATATAAAATAAAAAATAATAACTTTTATGTTTTATAAGATAAGTAAAATATGATATGACTTAATATATGAGAAGTAGAGAAATTCCTAAGAATTTGTAAATTAAAGTTCTTAAAAATTTAGAATATACAAATATTATAAATGGAGATTAAGTAAAAAAAGGAGAATAAATAATGAATTGTTTAAATTCTACTTTAAGAAATTAAATCAAAAGAGAATTTTATGGAAGAATTTTATGTAATTATAAAATTTTTAATTTAAATTTTTCTTAAGAATCACGATAAGAAATATGTCTTTATATGAAAGAAATTATTGTATAACCAGGAGAAATTTTACTTGAATAAAAACAAAACAATAATATGATATATTTTCTTTATAAAGGAGAGTTTGAAATTATTGTTTAAAATTAAAATTAAAAGACTTAAAATTATTCAATAATAGGTAGAGCAGTTGTAAAAAAAAAATATTTTATCTAATATAATATTATATATTATAAATAAAATTATTTTGCTATACAAAAAAAGAATGGAAGCATGCTAGGATAATTTAGCTTTTTTACAGGTTTTCCTGAATAATATAGTGTTAGAAGTTCAGATACTAGTTATTTATTATATTGCGATAGAGATAGTTTTTAATAGGCAATATCAAAATATTAGCATGATTAAGTAAATAAATATATATATAAAAAAATTATATATAAATAAATAAAAAGTAAGTTTTTTGTAAATTAAAAGACAATCTCCTTATTTATAACCGACATTTTGATACTACTTGTTTTAGTTGTAATAAATTAGGACATGAAACACATAACTGCTAATTTTTTTATAATAAGCATTTGAAATATATTGTTATTTAAAAAAGTATTTTAAATATTCCGTAAATTCGACAATTATTAAACGCAAGGAGACCTTAAAAAGATTACAATTCATTAAAATAACGAGAAGAAATAATGAAAAAAGCTAGGAAAATAAGACTCAATTATTTTTATGAAGCTTTCGAAGGAATTCCAATCGAAGTAGAAGAAGAAGACTTAGATCTTTAATAAAATGATATGGAATTTGTTATTTTTGTACCAGCGGTAAGATATGAAAATTATGTTTTGGTTTACAGTGAAAGGGAATTATCAGATTTGAGTGAAAATGAATATGAGAATAATTAAGAAGAATATTAGTTTTTTAATTTTAAAATTAAAAGTAATGAAAAAATAAGTGAAGTTGAATAATAAATAAAAAGAAATACATTAAGAAATAGACAAAGTATTTTTGATAAGGCTTTAATTTCAAAATTATAATAAAAAAGTATGAATTCATATAAAAATTTCGGAAGTATTACTAGTGAGATTGAAAATGAAGACGAAGAAAACGAAGAAGAAGAGAACGAATCAAAAAAAAAAAAGAACTAAAAGAAGAAAAAAAAGTTAAAGAAGAAAATGAGAAAGAATAAGAAGATAATAGTGAAAAAATATTAAACTTTACTAATTTAAATTTGGTTGAAAATAAAGACAAAAATAATTCATTACTTTAAATTTAAGTAATTAATAAATAATCTTTTATTTCAAGCAATTTTTCAAATTCTACTATAAATGAAGAAAATTTAGAAGATTTATAAAAGAATGAAATTTTAAAGTTAGGAAATCACTAAGCTTTATGCTTGTCGAAAGTTGAAAATAAAAATGTTATGCAGAAAAATCATGAAATATTAAGTAAAATAAACTATGATAATATAAAAAGGTTTTCACATGATAATAGTTAAATTTAAGATAATAGTAAAATAAAATAGTCATTATAAGATTATTAAAGTATTAAAAGTTAATAAAATGTCCAATAAAATACTAAAAGCTCAATTATTAAAGTTGATTATATAAATATTAACCAACATAATCATAAATAACAAAATAGTCTAGTTAAAATCCCGTAAGTTTAAAATAATAATAATAGCAGTTAAACTAAAATTAATATAGGAAATATTTTGGAAAAATAAAACACTTAATATAGTAATAATAGTAATTGTTCAGAAGAAAATAAAGAATAAAAAACACAATATTTTATAAAATAATAAGTATTCAATACTTAACAAAGTTAATAAAAAGGTGAAACAAATAATTAATATTGTATAATGTTAGACAAATTTGAAAATTTTAAAGAATTTACAGGATACTTTCCTAATAATAATATATCTAAAATACTTGCTATATAGTAAGTAAATTATAATAAAAATATGTAGCTAAAAAAAAAGAAAAGAAATAATAAAAGGAATTAGACATTATTGTGTAAAATATAAAATAATAAGCAAAAATCAAATATAACAGAGAAAAGTCAAAAAAAATAAGAAAAATAATAATGATAAAAAAAAAATATATAAAATATAATTTTAATATAAAATTAGAAATAAATAAATTATTAAATTAAAATTATATATATAATTGAAATATTAACATTTATTTTTATTTATATATTAATTTATATTTATTTATTTATTTATTTATTTATTTATTTATTTATCTTGTATTTATATAATATTAAAATAATTTTTATTTTATAATATAATTTTTTTTATTAATCTATTTATTTTTATTTTATAATTAATTTTCTTATGTAGAATATTAAATATAATATTAATTATTATTTTAACTTATTTGAATATAATTTAGAAGGAATTTATTTTTAAGATTATAATAATATGTAATTTAATATTAATGTTTTAGAAAAGTAAATTTAATTTGATAACATTAAAAATGATTTGATAAAGAAATTCAATTCTTTATTAAATAACATGGAAATATCAAATACTGGTTCATCCTATTTTATTTAAAATTAACTTTTTTAACTATAATAAATTTTGTAAACGCCAATATAAAATTTAATTATATCATTAAATAAAATAAAAAGCCAATAAGAATATACAAATATAATAAATAATAAATTACAACTATAATTAAAAAATGAAAGTTATTTAAATGAAAATAATTAATATGGTTATTCATTAATTCATCATAAAAATAGATAAAACAATATTTTGGATATAATGATAGCTTTTTAAAAAAGATAAAACCAATATAGATATTAAAGCTTAAATAAATAAAAAAGGAATTAATTTACTTTCTAATAAAATATAATTTAAAAAATAGATAATGAGTGCATTTAAGATAATATAAAAAATAATTAAATAGAGTTAGATAATTAAATAATATAAATTAACGAAAAAGAGTTGAAAATTATGGACTTGAATATGAATATAAAAAACATTTATCAATAATAATTAAAGTTTTTTAATGAAATTAAATAATAGGAATAATATTTTTAAATATAATATGATGAATTAAATATAATTAAAAATGATTTAGAATTTTAAATTTAAACACATATTAATTTATTATAAGCAGAATAAAATGATGATAGTTTTATCAAAAATTAAAATTAAAATAATGAAGAAAATATACTTTTTTTATAAAATATTTAATAATTATAAAATTAAATTAGTTTTTTATAATATGATTGTGTCAATAATGATGAAATTGTTATTTTAAAAAACTTATATTAATAAATTTTTACTGAAAATGAATAATTATAAAAGTAATATTTCTTTTTTTATTTAAATAATTTTTAGATATATATTTAATTATTTAATTCAGCGATTTATAAAAATAAAATTAAAATTTAGAGAATTATTAAGAAAAATTTAAAAATAATAATATTTGTTAAAAAAATAATAACAAGAAAGAAATAAAATTAAATTTATTTAAATGATTTAATATTCAAAATAAATAATAATAAGAGAATCTAAAATTAATAAAGGAATAGATTGGAGATAATCAATAATATATTGAAGACAAGTAAAAAAATAATATTAATTAAAATGAAAATTATATATAATAATTTAATAATTATTTAAAAGAAAAGAATTGAAAGTTTAGAAGTTACAAGAATTGCAAAATAGTTTAATTATTAAATAAAATAATGAATAAATAAACGATATTCAAAATCAAATTTGGAAAACTCAAGAAAATATTGATTAAATAAATATTAAAAATTAAAATTTTGAATAATATAAAAAGTCTAAATAATTATATGAAAATTTAAATAATGAATAAAAATCATTAAGTTATTAAAATACAAGTACATTGGAAAATATTTAATAATATGAAAATTAGATTTTAAAATATAAATATGAAAAAGATAAAATTCAAAAAGAAAATCAACTAAATTAAGAAAAACTTAAATTAGAATAATGCTTTTCAAAAGAAAGAAACGAAGAATTCTTAATTTAAGTCGAATAAAAATTATAATAAAAAAATACATTAAAAGAAAATGTATTAATAATTAACGAAGAAATTGATATTTTAAATAAAGAAAAAGAAGACATAAATTATAAATATATATAAAATGAAAAAAAAAAATGCAGTTTGTAAGAAATAGAAAATAATAAAAAAAAATTACTAGAATTTTAGAAGAAAAATAATGATTTAAGAAATTAAATAAATATATTCAAAAATAATATTAAAGAAAAAAAAAATGAAATTGATAATTAAAATCAAATGTTAGATGGATATTTAAAACCCGAAATGTAGAAATATTTTGATTAAATAAATGAATTTAATGAAAAAGAAATTGAATATAATTACAGGATAAAATTATTTTCATAAAAAAATTGATAATAATTATAAATATAAATCGATTAAAATATAAATAATTTAATATATAAAAATAAAATAATAATAATAAAAAAAAAAAAAAATTATATAAAAAGATATTAAAAAAAATTAATAATTAAAAAAAAAAAAAATATATATTATTATTAATTATAATTAAAAATAAAATTTATTTATTTATAATTATAATTTTAATAAATTATAAAATTTAACAAAAAAAAATTATATAAATATATAATCTAATAATATATAAATAAATATATGTATATGTATATGTATGTATTTTAATTTATTTCAAATACAATTTTTTTTTATTTTTTATAATTTATATTATTAATTTTTTTTTATTTTTTTTAAATTTTTTTTTATTTTTTATATATTTTTTTTTTAATAATTTTTTTTTATGTTATTAAAACTATTTTTTATTTATAATTTTTATCATATTAATTTTTTAACATATTCTATTTATGTTTTTTGTATTTTAATTCAATCTCTTTATATTTAACTCTTATATATAAAATAATGTTGTCAATATTAATACATCTAATTTTTATGATAATCAGAAGGATTATTTTTTTATTGTAAATTTTTCGTTTTTATAATTTTGCTTCTCTTATTCTTATTTTATTTTTACCCATAATATCTGAAAGTTTCTATTATAATTGCATTTAAATACTATATTTCTAATAATTTTTTTTTTTTTTAATTTTTACTCACACCATATTGTTATTTTAAATAATAAATTATGATTCCTCATAAATGAAATCTAATCTATTCTAGCAAAATAAAAATTATATTTTATTTATAATATCTTCTTTATATAATTACTTTCATTTATTATATATCCATTTTATTATTCTTCTAATCTGTTTTTTGCAATTTTTTTTAATAAATAAATTACATAAATTTTTTAATTTATTTAAAACTTAATAATTTCATTAGGTCTTTCCTTCCAATTTCATATTTAAAAGTTTTTAAAAAATTAATAATTGTATTTTTTAAATTAACAATATAGATTGCTAACTAAATATGATGAGAGAGAGTTAATATAAGTAAAGTTTTTTTTTTCAAAATTATTACTATAAAAAGATTATACAATTAACAACTTTAGATGTAATTTCTTAAAATAGCCCAATTAATAAATATTTTATAATTAATTTTCTCTTTTTAAGTTAAAATGTAATTATTGTTAACTTTTCAATTATCGAAATTCTTTATATAAGGAATCAAAATCAAAAATTAATGACATTGTCATTCTAATATTACTCCATTTTTATCCTTTGAAAAAAATATACCGTCTCCTATTAATCTTTTTATGGATTTGTAAAAAAAGGACTTTGATTATCATAATATTTTTCATCTACATTTATAAAGGTTATAATAAATTTATGTTTACTACCTAGATTATTTTAGAAATATAATTCTAAGCTTATACTCGAATATTCTAACAATAATCATGTATTTGTTTAATTTCGTAACTAAAATTTTTATTACATAAGGAATTAAATAATTTTTATTTTGAAAATTAATATATAATTAGCAGAGAAAATAAAATTATGCTTATTTTCATTTTATATTTTTCATTAATATTTTTCTTATTTTATCTTTAAAAATAAAAAAGCATGACAAAAAAAAAATACAAATAAAATAGACAAAAAATAAAAGACAAACAAAAAGACAAAAAAAAATACAAATAAAATTCACATCAACCTCTTTCAGCTTCTTCTTCTTCAAAAAAAAAAAAAAATGTCTATGTTGCAGTTTTGTATATATTTTTTCAAGAAGAAGAAAATAAGCACAAAACTAATTCAACTTCTATATATACTTAAGCAAGAACCGGTTACTTATTTGTGTAGAAATATATATAATTATAGATTCATAAGATAGAAGATAATGTATTTGAATCATTTCATCAATTAATTTTATACTTCTCCCTATTCTATATTTAAATTTATATTATGCTTTTTTATATTAATATCTTTCTTTTTTCTTTGCTTAATAACTGTAATTTTCAGTTTGTCATCTCTTCAATTAGTAATTTTTTAATCAATATTTTTCATAAGTAAATCATCCTTTATCGGCTTTTATAGCAGTCTATTAAACCATTTTTTGAGCTAGACACGTTGTATTCAAATGATCTATAGTTCTTAATATTAAAATAAAGTGAAGAAATAAGTATGCTAAGTTAATAGCATTACAATTTCTTATATAACTCTTTAACTTTTTATACTTAGTTTAAAATAATGTTAAAGTAATTTATTAAATTTTCGAGAAAAAAAAATAAAAATTACTCTTTAATTTCACGTGAGTTGTGTTTAATAATAGATAGGGTCAAAATTATATAAAAGTAGGATTTATTAGGAAAATAGTTGATATAAAACTAAATTAATATAATAAATAATTAATTAATTCAATAAAGTTTTTTTAAATTCTGATAAAAAGTATAAAATTTAATTTATATAATTAATACAAATAAAAATTATGAATGATTTTATTAATAGATATAGCGATATTTTTGTTTAAAAATATTAATAAAATCTTCTTATATAATTATAAAATATTAAAAAAATTTATATAAATTATAAAAAAAAATGATTTGAAATTCTATTATAAAGATATATTAAATAAAAAAAATAAAAGATAATAAAAATAATAAAATATAAATATATTTTTATTTTAAATAAAATAAATAGTTTCGAATTAATTTATATATTATATTATTTTAATTAATATTAAAATGCATATATATATATATATATATATATATATATAAATATATTTATATATTATATTCACTTTTTATTTTCTTTTATTTAATAAAATAATTATAGCTAAATATTTTTTATAAAGATATAAAATAAAATACATTTATTATACAATATTAATTTAATTAGAATAATGCATATATAATATATAAAATTATTTTAATTTGAAATTGAAGAAAACATATATAATTATAAAGACTACTATGATGATAATTGTAATTAAATAAACCTATTAAAATAATATATTATTTTTAAAAATACATATCTTTCTTTTTAGCTGAATCTTTTTGCACTTTTAATTAAAAAAAGTTTTTTAATTCAAAGTAATATAAAAAAAACCTGAACAAATATCCAGAATTACAACTCCACTTAATAATCTTTTATTTGTTTCGCTTTAGATTAATAATAGCGAAATAATTATTGATGAAGTCTAAGTGAATAAATTTAATGCATGTAGACTAAGATATAATCTAAGGATAAGACCGATACGTTTTGTATATAGTAGATTAATGAAAATTAGATTGTTTAAAATAATCAAAAAGCAGATGAACTTATTTTTTTTTAAAACTATTAAGCTTGAAGTCTCTTTTTGAGATTTAGCCTTATTTTATAAGGGCAGATTCTATTACTTCTAAAAGTTAATCTTTCTGCTTTGTTTTCGATAGAGATACATTTAATAATATCGTAAAAGATGCAGCATCTAAAATCAGACAACTTTATGAAAAATTCCTTTTATAGTTAAAATTTCTTAAATATATAGATGATTATGAAACATCAAAAATTGGAGATGCAATTAAATCAGTTAATTTTAAAGCGGGTAGCTTAATTGATAAAGAAGGAGAAGAAGAAAATAACTTCTTTATTATCAAAGAAGGTAAATTATAGTCTCTTAAATTTAGAAGCCCAGGAGAATAACCGGTTATTTTAAAAATATGGAGTAGGAGATTATTTCGGGGAACTTGATTTACTTAAAAATTGACCGAGGCAGGCCAGTAATAAATGCATCAAAGATGTTAAACTTGCTACTTTTGATATATTGACTTTTAAAAGATTATTTGGTCCAGTTGATATAACTTTAGCCTAAATGCCGTTAGTTATAGAAATTTAAATAATGAAAAATTTAATATTTTTTACAATATTTATTTTACTAATAATAATAATATACTATATATATATTATTTTTTAAATATAAAGATAAATATATTATATGTATTATTTTTGTAATTTATTAAATTTTTATAGATTACTAATTTAACTATAAAATGTTTATTTATAACTAATACTATATTTTAATGTTTTTTTTTCAAAAAAAAATTATTAAATAAATTTTAATATATTTAATAAAATTTAATATATAATTATATATTTATAAGTAAAATAATATAAAATTTGTATTGAATAGTTTTTTTTAATTATAAATAAAAAAATATATTATCATTCTTCGATTTCTGATTTATTATTAAAAAATTAATTATTACATTATATTTAAGTTTATAAAAAATTATCACTTTTTGATATAATTTAATGATCACAAATGTTAGTTTTCTATTTTTTTAATTGAGAATCAGATAAAAAATTACTTTAAAATCTTTCAATAGATGTAACATTAATTTTTTATTATTTACTTAATTAAAATTTAATATCTTTTTTAGAATATTCATTATTATTATCATAATCTTTTTAATTTTTTAATAAAATAAATAAATATAATTTATATAAAAAATTTATATATATATATATATATATATATATATATATTTATATCTTTATATATATCTATATATATTTATGATATTTATATATATTAGTATATTTTTTTTAAATATATATCTATATATATATATTAGTATTTTAATATTTAATTATATATATACATATTTTTTTTTCCAAACAATTACTTATATAACTACTATCCTCATTCTTTTCTTAAAATTATATTTTTTCTTTATTTTCCTATTCTGCTATTATACTAAACTTAATTTAAGTTAATTATTTATATTATTTTCTATAGTTATCTTCTATTTTATTAATTTCTACTTTTTAATTTATTTCATGTTACTTTTTTTTTCTTATTCTAGTCTAATATTATTCAAACGATTATGTATTTTTTCTTATATTATTATAATTTATTTCGTATTTTCTTTTAAATAATATTTCTAAATAGTTTCTTTAAACATTTTAGCAGCATTCCTAACATCTTACAATTAATTAAACTTCTAAATTTTCATAATTTTATTCATTAATCTGGATTTCATATCCATTAAAATAAGCACAAAGTGGATGTACCCATTATTTTTAACAAAAACAATTTATTTTTTTCCTTTTTTAGAACAGCAAAGTGCACATTGAATATCTTTTTATATTTCTAAATGCTAGTATATTAGAAAATCATCTATCTTGTTTCTAAAAGATATATTTTAATTGTCCCAAAGAGCATAATTGAATATAAAAAGGCAAGTTTAATGATAATAAGAATTATTATTTTCTTAAATTTATACTATAGGTAAGTGAGTTTCGGTGCATAATTTGCATTAAATAAATTAATTTTTATTAGGAGAAGTTTAATTAGACTTTTTTAAATCACATCTCGTACAAAAGAATTTATTTTCTAAAAATTGTATACCGTAGCAGTTTTTATGAAAAAATATTGCACAATTAGAACATTAGATTAAAGGATTATTTGCATTTTAGAAATTATAAAAACATATTGAACATGAAGTTTTTTATATTTACTTAGATGAAGGAATTTTCTGATTTTTTTTTTTAATTTGGCTTATTTTTATTTAAATTTGTTATTGCTTTTCTGTCTTTTTGTCTAATAATTATTTCTTTTCTTCTTATTGCTTTTTTTATTCTTCTTTTTATTATGATAAATCCTCATTTTCGTTAATATTAGGGTTTTGGGTATCCAAAAAACCAATTTTTAAGTTTTTTATAATAGATATTTGACGAAGATTATCTAATAATTAAATTGATACCTTCTTTTGGGGTTAATAATTTTCTTGGATGACTTTTTTAATTATATTAGCTATTTTAGAATCATTTTGAAGATTTTATAATTCTTAGTTCAAATATTCGATGTAAGTTTCTATTTGAGTTTTATCACTTATATCGTTAATTATTTTTTGTTGGTATATTATGCTTTTTTCGGCAGTCTCTTTGTCTATTTTTATGATTTTTTTTAAAATTAAAGATAGGCTGTTTGTTGCTTCTGAATCTTCTGAGTTTATATATTTTTAAATATGATTTTCTAGATTTTAGTTTTTTTGGAGATACTCGGAAATATTTTTATTTGAAAAAATATCGAATTTCGATTATTTTTCAATTTTAATATCTTGTATTTCGTTTAAATTTTTTAATTTGTAAATGCATAAAAATTAATCTTCATTGTCTTATTTTAAAAATAAAGTAGTAAGATAATTATTATATTTAAAAGGTAAAACTTATTAATAATTTTTGAATCTTTAATTTATTATTGATTTTTACAAATTAATTTAACTTTTTTAAATTTAATTTATTGTTTCTGGTTAAAAACTATTTTCTAATACTTAAATAAGCTATTCTGAGTTTCTTATATTTTATATTTAGTCGTGTTAAAATTAAGGGAAGAAATCATTATCTAATTAATCCCAAAGTTAAAATGATTCGTTTGTATATAAAGCATGTGGAGTTATTCTTTTTATTAATTAATCGAATACAAAATGTTAATCTGATTATTATTGAATTTGACTTTTTTATAAAAGTGAATTTATTTATATGCTAGATATTAATTCATCATTTTCATTATTGTCCCAATAACTCTCTTGTGATGTTTAGGACTAGTTTTGGCTTGAATTTAATAAAGAATTGCTATTTTATGTTTGATTTTTCGACATTGAATTTATGTTTAATTTCATTTTTATTGCTTATAGTTGCTAATTCTTATTTTATTCTAAGGTATTTGATAATAACTAAGATCCTTCATTTTATTAGGTTTCTTTTTTTGATTAGCTTTTTTCGATTTTTTATTACTATATTTCTAAAGGTTAGGTATTTGTTTGTTATATATATGCTTTTTATTACTCAGATTATATTTCTATTTGTAATTATTTATTTTATTAAATTTAAAGAAATTATTCCTGTTATTATGTAATTTGTGCTTATTATTACTTTTAATAATCAACTTTTTATTTTTAATTACTGTTTTATTATTTTTATGTTAGTTATTACTTTTGGACTTATTTTTTTTTTTAATGCTTTAAATCTTTTTTAATTGTTGATCAATTTTTTATTTATTTTCATCTTCTTATTTTAGTTATTACTAACTTTATATTTATTATTAGGGTTATTATGATAGTTAATTTTATTATTATTGCAAGTATGCTTATTATTAATATTAGATTTATGTTTATTATTATACTTATTATTATTATTATGATATTTATACTTGCTATTATTATAAATACTAATTTTTTAGATGTGTAAGCTTATTTTATTGTTAATTATATGAATTAGGTAATTAAAATTAAGTTTATTTTTACTATTAATCATTTAAATTATTAGGAGTTTATTAATTACTTTAAATATTAGCATTTTCAATATAAAAGTTAGGCTAATCATTTAAGCTCTGTTATTTTTATAATTAAATTTATTTTTGGACTTCTTGCTATTCTTAATTCAATTAATTTTAAAATTAATATTGTTGATTATTTTATTAATTTTTCAATGATAAATTTTATTGTATAATATTGCTTTCATTTATATTATTTAACTTTATTTCTTGTTAAGTTTTTTATTATAAATTATTTTAATTTTATTATTATATTTATAAAGGAAATTGTTAATTATTATTCAATTATTAACTTTAATAATTTTACAATTGTTTATCTTATATTGAATTTTAATTATTATTTCCTTAAATCATTTAATTTTATTAACTTCTAAACAATAAATCTTACTTAGTATCTTATTTTTAAAATTCCAATTATTTAAGATCTTAAGATTAACTTAATTATTATCTTTGTTTGATCTATTGTAATAATTAGGGATCATTTTTCAAAAATTCTTCTTATTTATTTTAAAGTTGCTATTTTGAAGATTAAATCTTTTTATCTTACTTTTTATCTTGTATTTTATCCAATTATATTCCTTATAATGACTATTATGATTATTATTATTTTTAAGTTTAATTAAATTTTTAAATAATAGATTTTTAAATTAATTTATTATCATCAATTTTATCATTTTATTATTTCGTTTCTTATTACTAAAATGGAAAAATTATTTATTATTATGGTTATGGTTATGGTTATGGTTATGGTTATGGTTATTGTTATTAATCTAATTATTATTATGTTAATAATTATTATAATGCTAATTATTATTATTAAGATAATTATTATTAATTATTTTAAAATGCCTAATTTTAATGATATTATTTATTTTATTAAGGCTAATATTATTATTAAAACTTTTATTGCTATTATTAATTATATTATAATTATTTCATCAATTATTATTATTATTAAAATTATATTTCTTAATATTATTCAATATTTTATTATCTTTTTTAAATTTATTATTCCTTATCATTTTTAATATTCTGCTTTTAATTTTAGAGAAAATTTTAATATTATTTCAATTCCATACTTACATTTAACTCATTTTGAGGATTTTCTTTTTTTTTTTATAGTGTCTTTAAAGCATTTTTATTTTCTTATATTTCATTACTATTATTATTTATTTAAGTATTATTTTCATCATATTTTTATGGACTATTTATTTTTTCATATTATTATTTAATATTTTAACTCTATTTCAAGGATTATTCAATCATTTATACCTGTTTTCCCTAACTATTTTAGCCTTATAATAATTATTATTGAATATTAAACTATAATTATTGATTCCTTTATTATTAATAAATATCCTGTTATATTATTTTATTATTTTATTCCAAATCGCTGATTTAGATAGGTTAAAGTTAATCAGTATCATTTTTTTATATTTATGGTTATGTTTCATTTATATTATAAATTTGGTTCACGTTTTATTATTTTAAATTCTATTGTATCAAACTTTGATTCTCATTTTATATTAAATTAAAATTTGGACCTAAAATATTTTAGTCAATTATAGCTTCCTAATTAAATTAAATTATTTAAGGATTTTTGTTCTGAAAATCTAAATTATTTTAAAGAGATTAATTTTATTATTATTAATCTTAAGGCAAATTTTAAAATTTATAAGAATTCATTTCTAAATTATTTTATTAATAATTTATTTATTATTATATTTATTTTTACTAGTAATTTTGTTAATTACCTAAATTTGTAGGTTAAATATTTTTGGGGTTAGAATATTAATTTTAAATATTTTAAGGTTATTAGAATTATTTTTACTAATATTACAAACTATGTAAAGATAAATTAAATTATTATTTATTTTATTATATTTATTGTTGTTAATTAGTTTACTATTATTATATAAAACTTGGCTAAAGCTGCTAATGTAGTTATTACTATAATTACTACGTTTAAAATTATTGATTTTATTGCTATTATTATTATTTTGGTTATAAAGATTATTAAATTTATTATTTTTATTTTATTTGTAATTATAATTATTCTAATTATTGTGGATCATTAATTTAATTAGATTTCAAACTTATTTAATTATCTTCCTTTTTTGGCTAATAGTTTATATTATAAATATTTTTGTCCTAACTTTATTACATTCCTAATTAAATTTTTTATATTTCTTAATCTTTAGTAATAAATATTTCATTGTTTTATTAATTTATTATTAATTTTTTATCTAGTTATTGTGTTTTATCATTTGTATTTTAATAAATGTTTGCCTTGTTTTATGTGTCTAATTTATCTTTTTTAATGAATTCATTGTTTAATAACTAATTTTCAGGTAAATAAATATTTTATTTAAATTATTAATGTGATTATTACTGTTATCCTATTTATAATTAATTATTTTGTATATGAGATCCTTACTAAATTTTATTTTACATTTATAATTCATTTATTTTTTGATTTGGCATATACTTTATTTATCCTTTAGATTTATATATAAAATAAATAAATAAATATAAAGATATATAAAAATACAATTAAATAGTATTTAAATACATATTTATTTCAATATTATTATTATAAAAAATTATTTTTCTTACCTTATATTTATCCGATATTATTTCCCATTTAACTTTACTATTCAATTCTCATTCTTTATTATTATTTATTTAAAGCAAATATATTTCTTTTGTTAAAAGTTCTTTGTTATTTCTCAATAATTATTTTTATAAAATAAGGTTTATATTCTAAATTTATTAAAGGCCCTTTTTTAATTTTTCTTATCTCATTATTGATATTTTCAGGTATTAATTCATTCTTTTAAACATTAAACTGTGTTTATAGATTTCTTTAAAATAAGCTGTTTATTTTAACTTATTCCTCATTTTGAATATCAACATTTTTTATTGGAATTAAATTTTTTTATTATTTGATAGATTCTATTTTTTGTTACTTTAATTCGTTTCCTAAAGAAGTTTAGCTTAAATTACAATCAGATTGATTGTTTTATAAGATTGATTACACTTTTTGTACTTATTAAGATACTTATTAATTTTTTTTTTACTATTTTTAATTGTTTTTTTCTGTTTGCTTTTATTATAACTTTCCTTTAACTTGTATATTTCTTTCTATTTACTAAGAATTATTTGAATTTGCAACTATTGATCTATTTAATTCCTCTTTTTTCAATTATATAATTTATATGTTTTCTGTAAAGTCCCCGCTTATTCCAATAGGATTTATGTCTAAATTAGGGTTTTGAAGCTTTTTAATATCTTATTTATTTAAAAAAATATAAATATAATTTTTTAAAATATAAAAAATTATTTTTCTAAACCTTTAGAATCTATTTGAGGTAATATTTATTTTTCATATTATGTGTTAAAATTATACTAATGTGTCTACTATTACATTTATTATTATAATTATAATTTAAATTACTATTATTAAACTTGTTAAGCATTTCCTTATTAAAAAGGAATTAATTATTATGGTTACTATTATTATTATTATTATTATTATTATTATTAATATTATTATTATTATTATTATTATTATTATTATTATTATTATTAGTCATACATTTAATATGATTTTTACCTTTGAATATTAGTTATATTATTTTAAGGAATAAATTCTCTTATTTGAAAATCTGGATTATTTTCTTAATACATATAGGACTAATTTTAATGAGAGAAATTTAATTCTTCTTTTCTAATTAAATTTTCGTTTTACCAATCTTATTGATAGTTTTAATACTATTTATTATTTCTTTATGACATATTATAAAATTAAAATATATTCGAATATTTTATCTTTAAACGATCATATATGTCTTTTAAAAAAACATTATTTTTGTAATTTTAAGAATGTGTGTTGCAACAAACTATTACATAAATATCACTATTAGATTCGATTATATAATTTTTTATTTATATTTATTAATTCCATATACATTATAAATGTGCATAAAAATTACATGTTTCATAATAACATTTTACTTTAAATGGACTTTATTATTAATTTATTTATTTCTAACAAATACCACACATTTAATTGCAATATTAAAAAATTCCTTCTACACCATACACTATTGCTTATTAACTTGAATTTTGTTAATCAATTACTTAACATTCTTTAAAATAGGTAGAGCATAATAAATGAATTAAAACTGGATTTCTTTATTTTTTATATTTTTTTTTAAATAATTTTTTTTTCTTACTGTAAATTTTCTAATCCTTATAATTTTTATGTATCAATAATTCCTTTTAATATAGGAGAATCATTTTAAATCTTGCATACATAACATTAAGCAAATTATTGTTGCATTTTTACAATATAATTTATGTTATATATATTTATTTTTGTTTCTTTCTTTTTAATAAATTATATATAAATATAATTTTCAAATTTATCTTTTAATATAAAAAAAAAAAAAATTCTTGATCTTTTAATTAATCTATGCTTTTATAAAATATTTTTACAATTTATTAATTTTATCGTAATGCACTTTTAATATTTTTTTAAATTTTTTTCAAAATTTAAATTAAACTTTACATTTTATTCGATTTAAAATAATATTGTATGATATTTTAATAAAGATTGTATGTAAATTATTATATAATGTGTTTAAAATAAATAATTTCTATTTTTTTTTTAAATATTAAAATAAATATATGCCAAATGATGTTTTTATTTAAATTATTAATTTTTATAATATTAGAATAAAAAAATAAAGTTTTTAAATATTTTACTTGGTAATTTTAAAAAATGTTAAACAATTAAAGCAAAAAAAAATTATCTCATTATGTAATTTACCTGATATTTAGTATTTAAATATATAAAATATAATTAATCAAATTTTATTAAATAAAAGCTTAAAATATTTAAAATTTATTGTTTTAATTTTATAATAAATTATATTTTATTTATTTATTATTTATTATTTTGTTTTTTGCTTTCCTTTTCTCATTTTTTTTTACAAAAAAATTATTTTTATTTAGAAAATATAGAAAAAATTATAAAGTTAATGTATAAAATTATATATAATTATATTTTTTAAAATATTAAAATAGTAATTGTAAAGAAAAATTAAATTTACAATAAACAATAATTCTTATAATAAAAAATAAAAAAATATTTTAAGTATTTTATTAAAACAATACATCACTAAAGAAAAATAAAAGGATTTAAAATATGAAATTATGAAAACTAAATACTTAATATCACAAAAGAAATTAGGATTAAAAATAAAAACTTATAATTTAGTAATTATAGAAAATATTAATATAACATTTATAATTTATAAAAAAAATGAACTTATATTTATAAATCTTTTTTTATTAAAAAAAAATAAACGAAAAAATACCAGACATTACTGTTATATAGTTTTATATTATAACAACATTAAAAAATATTTTAGAAATTAATTTTTTTTTACATGTTTAATGCCAACTTAAATCATATTTAATTACTTTTGTTTTTTCTGATTATTATTTTTATCTAATAATTTTTATTAATTAAATAGTTAAAATTTTAATGATTTATGAATATATAGAATTCATGAAAGAAAAAAAATTATTTTTTAATTCAAAATAAGATGTTTTTTAAAAAATGAAGAAAACTTTAAAATTATTGTGTTTTGCTAAAATATAAAAATAGAGTTTTGATTTATAAAATAAATATGTTAAATTTTTTTGAAAATTTAATGCAAATAGTTTACTTTGATGTATTTTATAGATTAAACTTTAGAAAATTTATGTTTTAAAGAGAAATTTTAGGCTGTCATTTTTCTTTTCAATAATGTCAAATAATGATATTACAATATTAATTAAAGAAATATAAAATAAAATAAAGCTAAAATAATAATAATGATGAAAGTTTTAATGTTTTCAATAGTTAAAAAAAAGTTCAAAGACATTAATATGTTGAAAAATAGTAAATATTTTGTTTAGAAAGATAATAGTTTATAAAATTAAAAAGTAGTTATTTAAGAGTAAAATAAATATATTATACATTGATTTTATGATAAATATTCTATTTTTAATTTTTTTTAACAAAAAATCAAATAATTATTAATATAATAACATGTGAAAATAATTCTTTATTTTTAATTAATTATTTTATTGAACTACATAATATCTGGAAGAAAAAATTTTAGATTATCAAATAGAAGAATATTGAAAATTCAATTATTAAACCAAAAACAGAAGATTTGTAAATATTATAGATGAAAGGGAAGGAAATATAATTGTTTTGGTAACAAAAAATTAACTTATTTTTGGGAATTAATAGTAGTCGCCTTTTTTATAGAAGAGTAAAAAATACCTAAATATATGAATAATTATTGAAAAAGTGAAATTTTAAAAGAATTTAAATATTTTTATAAAGAAAAAAATAAGGCATGGAGTATATAAATAAAATGGATAAGTTAAAAAATATAATATTATATATATATTATATGGTAAAAAATGAATATACTCATAATATAAAGACTAAAATTTATAATATGTTTTTATTTTATTTTTTTCAATAATTTTTTGTTGATTCCACTATATCTTCAATAAATTTTTTAAATTATATATCTAATTTTTAGTTTGTATCAATTAATAATGCTGATTTAACTATTCTAGGATCCAATAAATTAAATCCTATGTCAATTTCAATTTAATTTAGTAAATGCATATCTTAATCAAGCTACAATTCTCTTGATAATTTATTATGATTAGTTTATATTCCTATTATTCCAACTTATATAGTTCTTAATTATTCGAAACATGTATATTTTAAAATAAATTATCTTAGCTTTTGGATATTTTCTTTATTATCTTTCGCAAAACACATTAATATAACATTTATTTTTATTGTGTTTAATATTACTCTCATAGTACTTTCGAAATTTATGTCATTAAATTTCAAACACCACATACCGAAGTCTGTATTTCGGGTATCTATTTTTGCAAAATAAAGGTTTTCGGCAGATGTAACTGGGAGAGGAATCAAATTCCATTATTAAAATAAACTATTTACTATTTCTTTACTTAATAATTCTTCATATCCTACTAATAGGACGCTTTTATCTTTTTCTAATACGTTTATATTATTTGCATTTCCCATTTTTATTACTTTATATATTTTAATAATAAATTGTTATAAATAAATGAATAAAAAAATGTATATTTTCTAAATAATAAAAACTTATTATTAATATATTATTATTATTATTTTTCAAACAATAAAAATAAGCAAAATATAATTATATATAAATATTATTGAATTCATTTATAATTATTCCTTGATGAACTTTATCTTATTTGATTTCCTTATAAAACTGAATATTTTCTATTCATACTTTATTGATCTCTATTTCCTTTCAAACTAAGAACTTTAGAATTAGTAGCTAATGGATTAACTTTATTTTTTCCTAATTAAAAGCATTTATCTTCACTAAAAAATTTCAGAATAAAAGATGAAACTAAACTTAAAGATCCAAATCCAACACACATAAACCATTATTCAACTGTCAGTCCATATTTATATAATCTAAAAGCTTTTCCTCCAAATTAAATAATTAATGCTTATGCAAATATAATAAATCCTACAATTACAGGAAACATAAGATTTCTTTTTAAACCTTCAAACACATTTAATTAGTCTCTTTATTTATAAATATATATATTTAAAAATATTATATTTTTACTATAATTTTCTTGCATTAATAAAATTGAATAATTATAACCAAACAAAGACATTAAAAATACATGTGAAATGTCTTGAATACATATCGTAAGCATCCTGTACTAATAAATATTCTTTTTACAATCCATTTAAACTTCTCTCTCTACCTGATCTTACATAAATCCTTCTATTGTCAGAATATTTAGCCAAGTACCATTGAAGTTTAAATTCTTTGATTTTATTTTACTTTATTACTTAGTCAAAATTATCACCTTTTTCAGGTATAAAATTCTCACCATTAAAGACAAAAATTAATAAAATTGCAAATTAAAATATAGATTATCCAATAATATGCTTAAACATTTTCTTTGAAATAATATATTCATCCCTATTGTGAGGTTTTCTCTGTAAAAGTTCTTCAGTTGGAGGTTCTGTGGCTAATGCTAAAGAGGCAAAAGTATCCATAATAAGATTAATCCTTTATAAAAATTATATATAAAAAAATACATATATAAATATATATGAATATTTATATATATATATTTATATTTATATTTATATATATTATTTTATTTTATTTTTTATTATATAATTTATAAATACCATAACATTTAAATAGGTACTAGTATTTCCATTTTTAAAATAGCTGCACCTATTAATGTAATTCCTACTGCTACAATATTAACTGTAAGTTAAAATTGTAAGAATTTTTTTATACAATCGTAAATATTTCTGCCCCACATAACAGCTGCCACAATACTTTTGAAATTATCGTCTAAAAGTATAATTGCTGCAGCCTCTCTGGCTACTTCAGTTCCTGCAATACCCATTGCGAAGCCTACGTCCGCTCTTTTTAAAGCCGGAGCATCATTTGTACCATCACCTGTTACTGCCACAACATGATTTCTTTCTAAAAGTCCCACTACCATAGCGTATTTATCTTCAGGTCTTGAACGGGCCATTACATCAATGTCCTAATAAATTTTATCGAAAACTTCCCCATTTTTAATTACGTCAACTCTTACTTTTTTCTTTTCTTTTTCGGCTACATCAGCATCCCTAGGACATCCGCATTCGAAAGTTCGGCATTCTTTACACACTACACCCCCTGTTAGTCTTATAAATTCAGTACCCTCGATTACTTAATATTGAATGTTTTCTTTTTTTGCTAGTGTTAGTATATTACAGTCTTTAGCAATAGCACGTGCTGTGTCCTTATTATCTCCTGTAATCATACGAACTTTTATACCAGCCATTTAACATGTTTTTACTGCCCCTGGAACTTCTTCTCTTAAAATATCTTTAATTCCAAATATGCCTAAGAGGGTTAGGCCTTTAGTTTCTATGTCAAAAACTCCTAGCCTGTCTTTAGTTTCGATATCTTCGTTGCCTTTTAACTCCTTGTAGCCTAATACTATTGTTCTTAGTGCATTATCAGCCATCGATTTTATAGCAACTTTCATTTTATTTAATAATTCGTCGTTTATAGGTTATATTTTTCCGGTTTTTTTAGATAAAAATGTATCGCAGGCATTTAGAACTAATTCAGAAGCACCTTTTTGAAGCAGTCTTTGTTTCCCGTTCATTTTAAGGATTACACCCATTCTTTTTCTTGCTGAACTGAAAGGAAATCTAGCTAATATTTCATATCTTTCTCTCCATTTTTCGTATTATTCTCCGAATTTATCTAATAATTGCAAAATTGCAATTTCTGTTTTGGAACCTTTCATATCCGGACGTAAATCTGCAGAAGAGTTTATCGCACAAGACTAAAAGAAAAGTTCTTACATATCTTTTTAGTTTGCAGATATGTAATCATTTATATTTACTGTGTCTTTATATTTCTCAAATTCCTGTAATTCTTCGTTCCACCAAGTGGATAAAGTCATCTTATTTTATGTCAAAGTGCCTGTTTTGTCAGAGCAAATGCAATCAGCGCCTCCCATAGTCTCACATGCTTGTAATTTTCGCACTAAATTCTTATCTCGGAGCATTTTTTTCACTGAATAAGCCAAAGATAGGGTTACTGCTAAAGGTAAACCTTCTGGAATGGCTACAACTACTACTGTTATGCCTATTAGAATAAATTATAGGATTTATGCCCAATGTTCACTATGATTCCAGCTGTTTTCTTAAATTCTTTCTATCGCTAAACGGATTAATAGTACTAACATTATCACTATGGATGATATTAGACCAAAATTACCGATATCTCTTGCAATACATTCTAACTTTTATTACAGTGGAGTAGCTTCAGCGTCTTTAGTTTGTAATAGTTTTGATATTTTACCTACACAAGAGAAGTCTCCGACTACTGTTATTAATAATTATCCATCTCCTGTTAATACCTATATTTATAATATATATTATTTTATATTTATCTTGCATTATTTTTTTACTTTTGTTCCTGATAATATAACTGGAGAAGGGACATCATGAGAGCCTGAACTATTTTTTTCTCCAATTTTAATAATATGGTTTCGTTTTTTCAAACATTCTGAAAATATAGATTTTTTTACAGGATCTTTTTATTATTTTTTTTTGGATTTTTGGAAAAAAAAATATAAAAATACATGTAAATATACATATATAAATGCTATATATTAAAATGTTAATAATGATATATACCTGTTTCTCCTGTCATAGCAGATTCATCTGTGGTTAATTCAGATGCTTCCAAAACAATACCATCAGCCGGAATTTCCATACCTTCAATTAACTCGACAATATCTCCTACAAGAACTTTAGACATATGCAGCGTTTATTTTTTTCCATTTCTTAAAACTGTTACATTTTTTCTTTCATCAGCTACTTTATTAAGTTCTTGGAATTATCTCTCCTAAAAAATAAAATTGAATATGTATATATACATATATATTAATTACTTTTTAATAATCATTAATAGCAGTTACACTTCCACAAACACAAACTGCAACTAAAATAGCAAATCCTTCAATCCAGGCAGTTGATCTTTTTTCTTCTTTGGCAGTTCCTACTTCAATTGCAATAGATGCAAAGGCGGCTACAATTAATATCTTCATAGTAAAATCATCTAAAGCGGAAAAAAAAAGAGCTATAAATCCCTTAGGTTTACTTACTTCTTTCATATTATGCCCAAAAGCCTTTATTCTATCGTCAATATCTTCTTATTTATCTCTAATCCCTTTTTTATAATTAGTACATAAGCCATCTTCTAATGCTTTTATTCCTCCCATAGTCTCTAGAAGATCAACATCTTCTGCAAATCTTCGTTCTTGGCAAGCCGAAGCGACTCTTATTAATTAATTTCTAGAAATTTAAAATGGTGGAACAGGCTCTTCAAAATTTTTATCAAGTTCTTCTTTATTGGCATCAGTTTAGTGTTCGATTTTTTTTACCTTTTTTGGGTTTTATTATGCTGTAGTAGGATAATCTTCGTGATTATCTTCTTTATCTTAATGACGATATTCTGTTTGGAATTTTTATTAATTTATTTTCGGTAATTTAAAAGATTGTTTTTTTTCAGAGTTTTCTTCGCCATTATTATTTTTATTTGTCCTAATATTCTCTATTTATGAATTATTTTTATTTTTAGGAGATTAATATGACTATATAGTGTTTTATTAGATTTATTAGCTTTGTTAGGTTTATTAGGCTTTTTAGGCTAATATAGACTATTATATTTGGAAAGATTGCAAAAACTATTATGCTTCGAGCGCTTTTTGTGCCATTTCGCGTTAATTTTCTTATTCCTTTATAAGACTTTCTTATTATTTCGTTTATTTTTCTAAAAGTTGTATTTTTTCTTATAAAATCTTTTCATTATTTCGTTATCTATCAAGTTCATCTTGTAACTATTTTTCTCTTTAAGTCAAATTTTCCTATTCATTTATTTTGGATTTACTTCGGCTTCTTTTTTGTTATAAAAGCGGCTTTGATGGAGATTATTCGACTGTAAAATCATCCTTTTTACACTTTAATTATGAGTTTAAATTTGTTTCAAATTTGGTGCTTTAGAAATTATCGAAACTTTCATTTTTTTAGTTTTTGTTTAGAATATTTACTTATTCGAATTTGCTTGTATTATTGTCGCTGGCTTTTATTGGTTGTAAACATGGCTATTTTTTTTAATTACTAGATATACTACTGTCATCTATCTAAAAAAAATCGTCATTTTATCTTGCATTGTTTTAAGAATTTAAATCATCTTCCATTCTTATTTTATTTATTTATAAAAATTTTAAATTTATATTATTATTTATTATTGTTTTTTTTTTTAAATTAAAATAAATGGCTTTTTATAAGTTTATTTGTTATTTTAATTTTAATTTTTAATAATATTTATCTTTCCTTATGTTATTTAATTTATATTAATTAATAAATACATTATTTTTTCCTTTTTATTTATTTTATTTATATTTAAATAAGAAAAAAAATCATACTAGGTTTTATTTAAAATTTTATTTCTAATTTAAATTTAAATATTGTAAAAATATCAAATTTATTTGAGAATATTTATTATTTGTAAATAATTTATATTATTTTTCTATCTAAATTAATTTTTTTTAAGTATATTAAAATATTTTTAAATATTGAAACTTAATATTATAAAATGCTTTATTAATTTATAAGAAAATCATATTTTTTTATTTTTAAAACAAATAATAATAATAAAAAAAAATTATTTAATATATTTTCTTTTTTTAGTTTAAAAGTAAAAAAAATATTTTAATAATAAAATTAATTATTTTTATTTATTTAAATATATCATAAGTTCTCAAATAAAGTAAAATTTTTAAGTAAATAAATGAGTATTTATAAATGTTTAATTTTATTTTTTACAGTTACAGTTTTAAAACATCACTTGTAATTCAAATAATATTGATTTTTCTAATTTTTTTTTAAATAATTCATTTTTTTGTCAAAAAAATAAATAAATTATAAATTAAATATTTTTTAAAAAATGTAATAATATGTTCTTTAAAATTATTAATCTACTGTTTGCGTATATGATATTTTAAATGAAATAATAGATAAATCTATATAAATATTCATATAATAATTTTCTCATAATTATATGATTTAATCATGTGCCTATTAAACTATTTATCAAACAAACATCATAGTTTAATTAGGTTTAGGAATATAAGATTAAGGCGTTAATAATAATATGTATGAAGATTAGGAACCTGTAGGTATAAAAAATATTATTATTTATATTTTAAAACTATGTAAACAGATTCAAACAAAATAAGATTCATTTCAAAAATATGCAGTTCGAACTTAAAATTAACAATAAATATGTATTTAAAGATTTGAGAAAGTAAAATAAGAGTTAGATTTAAACGAAAATTAGTTGAAGAGTTTTAAAAAGAGAAAGAGAACTTAAAGAAAATTTACATTTAGAAATATTCTAAATATAATTTTTTAATAAAAAGAAGTTAATCTCCTTAACATTAAAAATTAAATCCATGGGATTTATCTTTTTGTAATGTTAAAAATAAAGATATATAAGAAAAAATACAACTACATAATTAAGTAAAAAAATAATAATTTTTATTTAAATAAAAAAATGAAAGAATTTCGAATAAGTTAATAATCAAAATTAAGATTATGTTTAAAAATTATTATAAAAATAAATAATATTTAAAGCCTAAAAAGAAGCAAAAAAACATGAAGAAGAAACAAAATTACATAAAGAAAAATAATAAATAAATGAAGAAAATTAAATACAATATACAGACTTTTTTACAACATAATTATAGCAAGGATAAATAAATAAAATTAATAATATTTATTTTAAAAATTTGAAAATTAAATATCCTTAAAAAATTTAGCCTTTAAATTTATATAAAGATTTTCCAAAAGCTGAAATTCCTAAACTAATTGAAATCCCAAAAAAAGTTATTAAAATTATATTTAAATAGGATGAAACTAAAGAGTTTATTAAAATAAAAAATAAAAATAATTTATAATATATGGTAAAATAAAAATATATATAAAAAAAAATTATAAACTCTCAATCACCTTTAAAAAATATTGAAAATGTAAAAACAAGAAAAATTAAGAATTATTAAAAAGATTCTATTGAAAATAATGTTATTAAAGAACAATAACTAAAAATTGTTAAAATAAATAATTGAAAAAATTTATATTAATTTATAAAAAAAAAAAAAAAAAAAAAAAAATTATATTTAATATATTTAATATATTTAAATATATTGATTTTTATAATATAAAAGTAATAATTAAATAATATAAAATAAATTAATAATTTATTAAATATATTATATATAAATTAATTTTTTGATATCATTAAAAAAAATTAAATTTCAAAAAATAAATGAAATAAAATAATTAAATGGAATAATAATAATATTTTTTTTTTTTTAATTATAAAAATAAAAAAATTTATTAATAAAAATGCTTTGTATAAAAATGATAAAAAAATTATTAAGATGCATTATTATTATTTAAAAAAATAAATTAACAATTATTATTAAATAAAATAATTTTATATATATATATATATATATATATATATATAGTTTTATAAATATTTATTTTTATATAATTTAAATTATTTTTTATATTTTATTCTTATTAGTATGTTTTTAATTTTTTAATTTTTCTAATGAACCATTATAAAATTACCAATCTAAAAACGGATCGTCAGCAGGCTTTATAACAGCAGCATTCGTATTTCTTTAAGTATAACTAGACAAATTAGAAGTATCATTTGGAGCTCTAAATATAAAAATGAAATAATAAAAATAAAAATTACAAGTATAAATTATTAATATTTTATTACTTAACAATTGGCTTATATGGAACCTGCATTTTTTTGATTGGAAGTAATCCCAATCAATATTACCGAACCATCTGTGATTTTTTATATCTACAGCTCCATTTTTCAAATTTTCATATTTTTTTGATAAATCAGACTCTAATAAATGTTTAACAAGATATTTATCATTTCTTAATTTTTTTATTATAAGATTTTATTAGATATATTTACTTATTAAAATTTCTTGGGAATTTTACTTTTCCTTTTAATATTTTTTAATAAATGGCCATTGGATTTTCATCTGTATTAGGATTTATTCCTGCATTCATTTCATATATAAGAATTCCTAAAGTCCACCAATCTACTGCCTTTCCATGATCTATTTTATTTATTTATATATATAATTAAAAATATACATATTTGTTTTATTTATTTGTATTTAAAAAAAACTAAATTTAACTATATACCTTTATTTAATAATATTTCAGGAGCTAAATATTCAGGAGTTCCACAAAGTATATAAGTACGTCCTTCGACAACTTTTGCAAAACCAAAATCTGTTAATTTAAGATAACCATCATCAGCAATAAGTAAGTTTTCTGGTTTTAAGTCTCTATAAATTATATTTTTTGAATGCAAATATTCAAACATTAATGCAACTTGAGCGCCATAAAAGCAAATATGATCTGATTCTAAAGCATCTATACTACGTAAATAATTAAATAATTCACTGCCTGAAACAAATTCTAAAATCAAATATATGTGACGATTATCTTAACAAAATCCGTCCATTTTTACTATAAATGGGTGATTAATATTTGATAGATTTGTGTTTTCGTTAATTATATGGTCAACTTGTTTTAGTTTTATGATTTCGGCTTTTTTTAGTTGTTTTACAGCAAAAAATTAATTCGAGTTTTTTCTCTTTGCTAATTTTACTCTACCAAATGATTCTTTTTATATTTATTTTTTAAGATTTAACAGATTTTTTTTTTTAAAGATAATTATTTTATTGCATATTTGTAATTTTTTTTTTATCATTCTTCTTATTATTTTTTTAAAGATTTTTTTTACCTGTTCCTAATGTTTAATATATTTCATAGTCAGAAAGTTTCATTTTTTTAGATTTCTCCATTTTATCAAATTTTTTTTTATATTAGGTTTTTATTTTTATTTTTATTAAAAAATATTTGTTTTATATATACTAAAATGAATATATATTAAAAATAATTAATTATAAATTTATTTTTATGATTTAATTAAAAAAAATAAAAACATATAATTAAATTAATAAATAATAATAAAAAACATATTCATAAATATAAAACTTTAAAATAATAATTAATTAAAATAATTATAAATTTAATTTAATAACATTTAATTTTATTTAAAAAATAAATAAAAAATTATTTTTATTAAAAATAAAATTTAATTATATATCTTATAAAATTATAATGTTAAAATATAAAAATAATATTTATTACAAAATATGAAAAATTCTGATTAAAAAAATAAAATAATATATATAATCAATCAAAATAAGGTATACTACCAAAATCATCTCTAGCATAAGGATCCTCAACCCTTATATTTTTATCCAAACTTTTTATTAATTAGAAATCTTCTTCACTTAATTAAAACTAAATACTTTCAATATTTTCTTTTAATCTTAAGAAATTAGAAGTTTTAGGAATAACAGAAACGCCCAATCTGATTAAGAAATTTAACATAATTTATACAACACTCTTACCATATTTTTCTGAAAGCTTAACAAGTAAAGAGTTTTTTAAAATATCTCCGCATCTTGCTTTTAAATGAGTTTTATATAAAAATAAATATGTATAATAAAAAAATATATAATAGTAAATAAATTTTTATTTATTTATAATTAAAAATTAACATAAGTATAATTATAAAATATATATTATATATATATATATATATTTATTTATAAATATTAAATAAACAAAAAAAATATTTATATTTTATATTAATAATATAAAATATATATAAATAAAAAAATAGCAAAATATTTTTATTATAATATATAAATAAAAATATTTATATATATCATTTTATAAATATATTATTTTTTATTTAATTAAATATATATATATATGCTTTTATTAATATATTTGTCTATTTATATATTAATATTTATAAATATATATATATATAAATATAATTAAATACCTAAAGGAGAATAAGCTACAATATGTATTTTAAATCTTTTACAAAAATCCAAAAGTTTAGGCTATTACAATTAAACATTTAATTCGATTTAATTACAAACAGGTTTAACTTAACAATATGAAAGTAAATCAAACAAAGACTATACGTTAAAATTTGATACAGCAAGATTTCTAACATATCCTAACCTATAACATTATTCAAATTCAGCCCATATTTAATGAACTGGTTTATGAGTTATGACATTATTTTTATCAGGAATATATCCTGGCCAGTGTATATAAATCATATCAATATATTATAATTTCAAATCTTTTAAACATTATTAAATTCTTAAAACTGTATTTACAGATTTATAAGGAAATATTTTAGTTGCAATAAATAATTCTTCCCTTTTATATTCTTCTTCTTTAAAAATATCTTCTAATATTTCACCTATTAAAGCTTCATTTGCGTATGTAATAGCTGTATCTATATGTTTATAACCAGATTTCAATGCATATCTAATCAATTAATCTAATTATTATTTATCAGTAAGTGTATATGTACCAAGACTATAAAAAAAGATAAGTATTTTTTTTTTATATTAAATAACCCGAAGATTGGCATTAAATTACCATTATGCAATATAAATTATTAATCATTATTTAACATTTTTTTTATTAAAATTAAAATAAATAAAAAAAATTCATTAATTAAAAATAAGATACAATTATTAAATAATAGAAAAAAATAAATAAATAAATAAATAAAAAAATAAAAATAAATAAATAAGTAAATAAATAAATAATTATAAATATATATAAAATTATATTATTATATTTATTTATAAATATTAATATTTTCATATATATATATTTTTTTATATGCCTATATGAATATATATATATATATATTAATTTTATTATTTTTTTAAAATAAATGTCACATGAAATATATTTAAAATAAAAAAATTTTCTTCTACAATTAGCCACTAATATCTATAATAAAAATTCATTTATTAATGAAAATACTCTCATTAAATAGCACATATAAGACTTTAATAATTTTAAAATTTCAAAATAATCATATATTACTAATCTTCCATTAATTGAATAAAACAATTAATTTTTTTAAACATTAAATTTAAAATAATTTTTAAATTTTTAAGATCCTTTAATATAATTAGCAATGAATTATTTGGGAATAAATGAATAAGAATTATCTAAAATTTCTGAACCAAAAGATTTTTATTCAATAAAAGAGTCTAAAAATATGTAATTTTAACGTTATATAGGAAGTATAAATGAGATTTTATTTAAAATCAATGCAATAGCAAAATAAAGGGAATTTTTATAATAAGATAAAATAAAATAAGGTAATAAAGAAAAAATTGAATAAAGGGAATAATAATATATAGATATTTAAAATAAATAATTTTATAAATTTGGAAATAATAAAATTAATTTATCAAGAAGTAGTAGTAGTAGTATAAAAAATTATACTTTATACAAATAATTTAAAGAGAAATTAAAAAAATTTAAAATTTAAAGAAACTTTAATGAAAAGTTATTTATTGAAAATGAAATTAAATATTAATTTCTAGAATAAAAAAAAAAATTGAAAAATGAATAAGCTGAAAATGCAAAAAAAAATTTTTTTTTGGAAATAAAAAAGAAAGCTGAAAAAATATCAGAAAACGTATAATAAAAAAGGATTTCTCAATTTTTTAAATAAGCGAAAAGTTTAGAAGATAGAGTCGAAAAAATATAGGAAATTCAAAAAAGCTATGAAAAAAGCCAAGAAAATGCTACTTTAAAGAAAAAGCTTTTATATAATAAAATCTTTCACATAAATTAATAAAAAAAATAGGATTATTTGAAAAGAGAAGAAATCAAAATTCTTTAATTTATTGATAATTATGCTAACTCATAAATACAAACGTAAAAAATAAACGAGAAAATAAACCAAAAAGCAATTAAGAGTTTCTATTCTACTTTTTAAAGGCAAAATAAGCTTTAATTAAGTAATAAATAAATAAATGAAACCTACTTAAAATATCAGTAAGATTTAAAAATGGACAATTTATAAAAATAATAAAAATATGTTAATAAAATAGTTCGCGTAAATAATTTATTGCAAGATATAAAAACAGAAAGATCTCGAAAAACAGAAAAAAGTAATGATAAAATATTGAAAAAAAAAGAATAAAATCAATTAAAAGTTAAAAAATAAAAGTTGATTTCGAAAATAAAATAAATAATTAATCTTTTGAAAATCAGGAAAAACTCAAAAAAATATGTTTTATAAAACTATTAAGTTAAAATAGATAACAGAATCTATTAAAAAAAATTTCTAGTTAAATAAAATAATAATATTTATAATAATCTTATTCAAAAATAGTAACATGATTAAAAATGCAAATAATATTTAATTAATGAATAGGAAATTAAACTTAAACTTAGAAAAGAAAAAGAAGAATATTATGAAAATATATAAAAAAATCTTATTTTTAAAGTATATTAATCTAAATAAAACGAAAGAAATATTACTTAATTACATAAATCGAATTTAGATCTTAATGAATATATAGAAAATAATGATATTTTTTATAAGCTTACTTATAGATTGAAATAAAATAATGGATTTACAAAAGAAAACTCTTCTTTTTGATTTTTTTTGTATTTATTTAATTTATTAATCAAATTAATATAATTATATATTATTTTTAAATTATAAGTAATTTAAAAAATAAATTATTTATTTAATATATATACTATATTTATTTTAAAATATTTTATTGAACAAATAATTTATATAATTATTATAAATAATTTTTATTTAAAAAAAGTAAGGTTTTTTATCCGAAATAATTTTAAATTTTATATTAAAATAAAATAAATTAATTGTTAAAAAATTTCATTTATATTACTATTGTTATTGGTTTTCTTAATTGTCTTTATTTAATTCTTATAATTAAAATTACTAAATTTTATTTTATTGTATTGTAAAATAAGTATTTTTAAAAGTTTAAAACTCAGAATCAAATTTTTCATTTGAATTTTGTCTTGTTTTTTCTAATTCTATTTATTATTAATTTTCATTTAAAGTCTATTTTTACACATAATTTAAAAAAAAAAATATATTTATTTTAAGACTATTTTTTTTTTTTTTTAAGTTAATTTTATAAAAGACAAAAATAAACAAAAAAATGAAAAAAAAAATGAGATATTGCATTTTTTTTTATTACATTTTTAAAAATAAATATATAAATAAAAAAGAAAATCTTTATATGTATAAAATTATAAAAATTACCAATTAACGTTAATTAATTTAAATATTTAAATTATTATTCTTTATTAAATCATTTAAAGAGTTAATTTCATTTTTCGAATTTAAAAGTAATTCTTACAATTACTTTATTTATATTTTTTACTTTTCTTTTGTACTTCTTAACATTATCAATTATTTTTTATATTCCTTTTTAAATATGAATATTTTAAAATAAAAAAAAATACATATAATTATTATTATTATTATATCTATTAACATTATAATAATTAATATTAAAGTTATAATTCTTAATATTCGGAAATGTTTTCTTATTAATCAATTTTTAGGAAATAAATTTACTATCCTTATTGTTAAACTAATTTTTAATTAATATCTAAATGTTTTTATATTCTATTTATTTATATTTCATAATTTTCCTAAAATGAGATAAATATTTAAAATTTAAAAAAAATAACAAAAAAAATATATATATAAATATATATAAATATATATATATATACATATACATATATAATATTTTTATATAATTAATTATTTATTTATATACTATTCTTTTATTTGAATTTTAATCTTCTAATAAAAATTATGTATGTACTTTTTCTAAATTACAGTATCTTTCGTACCATAATGATTATTTTTTTTATTAATCTTTTAGTTCATTTACTAATTTTAAATTTTCATTTTTTTACTATTCAAATGCGTATTCTTATTTTTCTTTAAATTTTTTCATTTAAATAATTAGATTTTCTTAATCTTATATTATTTTACGAAGTTTTTCATTTTCTTCTTGTAAATTATTTTAATATTACATATTAATAATATATTTACAAATAAATTAATATAATTCTTATTTATATTATTTTTATAAAAAACATACAAAATTAATAAAATAATATATATAATAATTATATATTTTAAAAAAAAATAATGATACAAATTTATATATTTACTAAACAAATAACATATATATTACTTTATAATTATATATATATATTACTTTAATTATGCATATATATATATATATATATATATCCTTTATTTTTTTATAATTGTAAATGCGAGAATTTAAAATATTTTATTAATTTTCAGATGAATAATAAACCGAAGATGAAGATTTAAGTCCTTAATACGAAATTAATTTAAGCGAAGATATAAGTAGTGGTGAATTAGATCGTTTAAACTACGAATATTTATTGGAATATTTAAGGCAAAGCAACTGGGATTTTATGGAAGATGATATTTAAATGTATGATTAGGAAAAATAATAATGGGTAAAAATAAATGATCAGTTTTGTATATATTTTACAAGCGATAATGAAGAGATAGAATAAAATTTGACATTGTTATTAAGGCGAAAAAATACTTAGAAAAGTTATAGAGGACAAAAGCAATCATTAATAGAATCAATAAAAGTGTTAGAATAAGAAATATAAGATTTGAAAAAAGAAAATTTTTAAATAAAATAATTATATTCAAATTTGAGCGGATAAATAATGAATATTGTAAATTAAAAAATTTCATAATTATTAACTTCCTATTAAGATATGACACCTTAATTAAAGAGAATGTGCTAAAAGCCAACAAATAATAATAAAATTATTTAACAAAATTCTTCTTAAATAAATACTAATAATAGTATCATATAATAAACTAAAGACGAAGAAATTGAGCCTTTATTTTTCACAAAAAATAGTTCGTAAGAAACTTCGCAAAAAAATGCAAAAACAGTCAATTTATTCTAAAATATTGTTTCAAATAATTAAAATACTTTCGAGTTTTTTAAACAAGATTAAATTGTTTCTTCAAATAATGAAAATATGAATACAAATAATAATAATAAAATTAAATCTAATGAGTTTTTAAAAAATAATAATTTCTCGTTTCATTCTTAGTTTTTTTAATAGTAAAGCAATTTAAGTTTCAGTACTCCGAAAATAGAAGATCATAATAAATAAATGGGGATTTTATCAAATATAAATTAATTTGATAAAAAAGAAAGCATAATTTAAAAAGTAATTCATTCTTAATAATAAATTACGGATATTACTATTATGTTTAGTGAACCTTTAGTTAAAAAAACAAGCGAGAGTAAATATTTTCCTGTTTAAAAATAAATAGAATATGAATATGAGATTTAATAGTTATACGATTAATTAAAATAAACCAATAAGTAAATAAAATTAGATATATTAACAGCGAATTTTGATAATTTGGAAAAAACGATAAATCGAAATTGCCCCATTTTGCATATTTTATGCAATGGAGATTATTCTGAACATCTATAAACGTTTTATTTAGAATTTGAAGATGAGGAAAGTAAACTAGACTACCTAACTGCAAACCGTTTAAAAGATTTTTTTAAAAACAAACAAAATCCAATA